AAAAAAAAAAAAAAAAAAAAAAAAAAAAAAAAAAAAAACACATGAAACGCGAACCAAACGAAAACGACGCATAACCATATCCATATCCGTGCCCATACCATCAATCATAACTCATTATCATAACCAAACCCGCCCTTCACGTCCTTCACAACGTTATATCCTCGACCTCCTCGTCCCCCTACGTCGACCGCAATAGCCGCACGTCAGACATGTGATGATGACATCGCACAGAGTCACGACGCCGTTGACAATCGCCATGATGATTGAGCCGATAGCATTGACGATACCGCGGAGGCAGGCCCCGATGGATTGGAATACGCCTGCGATCTGGTAGTTGTTAGCTGTGGATTGGAACGGGAGGGAGAGTCGTGAGGCGTACGCAGGAACAGACGGCGCCCATTTTGGTGTATTTGGAGGTTGACTTGGTTGACTTAGATGTTCTGATGAGGAGATATTGATTGTTGAATGTTAGACTCGATGTCTATTGTAAGATAAAGATAGTCTTTGTTCTGAAGATGAGATTGAATTGTCGGTTCCTGTGGTACAACCATACTATATATATACCACCCATCACCCCATCCCAAGCCTACAAGATCCAAGTAAACATTCCAATTCCGTCATACCACCTGTCATACCTGATATGATTTAATCCCGCCGATCCCCTTATAGTATTCCCTGCATCAGCCAAAATAGAAGTCCCCGTTGGATTGGCTGCAGATTAACGACTGCGTCAACGCGGGAGAAACTTGATACTTGCTATGATGTCATTAGCCCTGTCGTGGTGAATGGGGTTTAGCGGTAGGGTTATGCGGGTTAGAGGTCATGTGATTATGAGTGAGATTCCGCCAATCACATCCATACAGAGTTTGATATCGCCTCTATACAACTCGACTTCGGTATACGGAGTACAAGGGGAGTATACAGGGATAGGTTGAGAGCACGAATGAATAGAATACCATGTCGGGCCTAACGCCCATTCGAGTCCGCGGCCGCAGAAAGAGAGTCAAGCTCAGCCATGGTGACCAGAACCAAGATGCCAAACCAGTCCGGGGCAATCGACGGGGTAAACAACTCCTCCCACTTGATGCTTCTCAGCGCTCTCTTTACGCTCGACGGAAACGACCATTTATAAGTGGTAGCAACTGGTTATCCTCACAACCTCAACCTCAATCCCAGCTAGACTCTCTCTCACAACTCCAATACCAATACCAATACCAATACCACTCCCACTCCGATTCGCAACCCCAACCAAAGAAGAAGAAACGAAAGAATCTCTCCCGCCTAGAACTATTACCAGTCGAACTACTCGAGAGAATTTTCCTGTACGCGCTGAATGTCAATTTCGCCAGATCTTCGCCCTCGCTTGCGGCTGCTGTTTCTAGTGAGCGGGTTTATCGCGTTTTGATTCTTTTGGCTTTTTGGAGGGATCCTCACCGTTCCCCAGAGGATGCAGATTGGGATGGGAATGGGAATGGTGGGAGTGCAGGCGTTGCGAGGATTCTACGACCGCTCGATTATGTGCCTATAGGCGAAGACGAACGGCGGATCTTGCAGAGTACTGTTTTCAGGTGTACATGGTGTACCGTGCACAGGGTGCTGAAATATCTCCCTGGTTTGATGGCTCTCAGCGTTCAACGACTCTGGCTTGATGCGGGTATTACCATGGACAACTATCAACAAGACTCCCTCAACCGGTATCTCGAGTCATCTACAGAGAATAATAGTGGTGGTGCCATCCGCACATTCCAAGGAACAAAAAACAACAAACACTACACCCTAACTCTCACACCCAACATCTCAATCCGAATCACCAGTCCAGAAACAAACAACGACACGACAACACCCCTCCTTAATCTCCGCGAATTCCCACCGCATCTCCTCCGCGGCAGCGCCCACGGTTTCAATACCAAGGACGTCGCATTCCTCGAACTCCTCCGCGTATCCAGCGGGTTTAACCGCACGGATCACTCATCTATGCGTGCGGCGAGGGATATCTCTCTAAATAGAGATGCGCTGCAAGAAGGTGTTCATAAAGCTATTATCGAGCGGGATCATGATGTCCTGGTTACTCTTCTTAAGATTGATGAGTATTATTTCCGCGCCACCTCCTCCAATGGGGAAATGTATACGCTACCAGCAGAACACTACCGCACATGCCTCCCCAATCCCACCACATTCAAGCTCCTCCTCCGCGCAAGCGCCGAATCAGTACCCCCAGATGACTCGTACATAACAGCGTGGGCGATGGAGCTGGGTGATGCGTTTGGGGGCTGGTTGCTTGATCTTATGCTTCGGATGCCGGAGATGAGGGATGGTGTTAGGGGGAGGCCGGATGCTGGGGTATTTTGGATGGGGAGGTGTAATGCGGAGAGTGAGATGGGAGGACGGTATTTGAGGGATGTGTTGGGGGTGCAGGGATTGGAGGGTTGGATGGCCGAGGGGGTTGATTTTGTGAGGATGGCTGCGTCTTGATTATGGGAGTTTGTTGTTGGTTGTGTGTATATTTGTGTATGTGCGCTGGTTGCACGATTATCTACTATTATTTACTACTATTGTACATATCATATCTACTATCCAGTATGGCAGCTACATATTCCCCAACAACCTAACAATCCCCCTAACCCTCCCCCCAACCCCCATCTCATACCCCGTCTCAACAACCCCCTTACACATCTCCCACGCCCCAGTTCCATTCTGCTTAGCACTATCACCCTTCTGAATCGGATAATCCACTCTCGGCGGAATCCGCGTCGCCATGAGTTTCGGGAACCGGTCCACGCAGATAGATTTCACATTGCAAATCCCCCGCAGTCCTTCTTCGCCGGCGAACCGGCCGTACCCGGAACCTTTGACGCCGCCGAAGGGGAGTTGGACTGCGTAGTAGCTGCCGAAGTCGTTGACGGAGGTCATGCCTGATTTTATCTGAGATACGCATTTGTTTACGTCGGGAGTGTTATAGCCGAAGACGCTAGCGCCCAGGCCGTAGATTGTGGAGTTGGCGATGGAGATGGCGTGGGGGACGGAGTCTGCGCGCATGAGGACGAAAACTGGGGCGAAGAGTTCGATTTGCGCGATGCGCATTTCCGGGGTTACGTCGGCGAGGAGGGTGGGTGTGAAGTAGTGGCCGTGCATGTGGGTTGGGTGGGAGAAGCGTTTTCCGCCGCAGATTAGGCGTGCGCCGTGGTGGACTGCATCTTCGATAAGAGATTCGAGGCGGTCGAAGGAGGCTGGGGAGATCATAGCGCCGACGTCGGGAGTGGAGGGGGTTTTGGAGGTGGAGTCGACGAGGACTGAGCCTAGGCGGAGGGCTTTGATGCGGGGGGTGAGGATGTCGAGGAGTTTGTTGTAGATGCCGGGGAGGGCGATGACTCGTTCGACGCCGATGCAGTTTTGGCCAGCGGATTGGAAGACGCCGCGCATGAGGACGGAGGCGATGGACGACGCTTCACTCACGGTTCTCGAATCGTCCAGGATAACAGCAGGGTCCTTACCACCCAGTTCCACACACACAGGTGTCAACGACTTGGCTGCGGATTCACATACTTTGTGCGCCACAGGCTTCGAACCAATAAACGTCAATTGCGAAATCCCAGGATGAGACGTCAACACATCCGCAACATCAGGCAGACAAACAACACTCTGCACGAGATCCCGAGAATGACCACATGCCGAAAGTGCACCACGCGCCATTTCCAAAAAGTATGCCGTACACCACGCAGTCTGCTCCGATGGCTTAACCACGACACCATTTCCAGCAAACAACGCACTGATAACCGGTCCGATGAAGTTGTGGAACGGATAGTTCCAAGAAACACACGCCGAGACAACGCCCAAAGGCTCATACGTAACCATATTCTTCTTGTACATCATGAGGAAATTCGTCGGTCTAGATTCAGGTGCCAATGCCTTTTCGCCGTGGTCGATGGTCCATTTCAACTTCTCAGCCGTTACCAGGATCTCGCCAAACGCAGCATCGACTCGCGTCTTTCCGGAATCAAGACAACAAGCAGTAACGATATCATCTTGGTGGTCGAGCACGTATCTATCCAGTCAGCACATCCCCCACAGTAACCAAGAGGTAAACAAACCTCAACAACGTCCTAAGCACCCTCCTCCTCTCCGCAAACCCCGTCCTCGCCCACTCGACCTGCGCACCCGCGGCATCCTCAACAGCCTTCTCAACAACCCCCCTCGTCGCAGGCTTAGTCCCCTTCCCCAACACCCGTCCGTCCGCAGGACAATAACTCATAATCAAATCCTTATCCCATTGTCCACGGACTTGGCCTTCAAGGACCCGTCTTTCTTCACCGGTTGCATCGTCCCAGTTCTTGCCGGTCCAGTTATAGTTCGAGCGGATTTCGGGTGGGAGGGGGACGTTGAAGGGGACGGTGGACTCTCGTTTGTGGGACACGTAGATTGTTGTTAGGTAGAGGGCGGATATGGAAACGAGGGCGATGCTGAGCCATTGCGTATGGGGTTCGAGGAGTTCCATTAGGGGATGGAAGGAAGGTGGGAGGTAGGTCGCCAGGGTCTCCATTTTGGCGGCTGGAGAGGATTGGCGTGGTTTGGGACGCGCTGGTTGAGGAGATGGAGGATGGTAGGTTTGATGGCTCGATATTGGCGCGGGGTCACGTGAGCCCCTTTCCTGTACAAGAGAAAATATTGGATTGATCTCGTTGCTCTAGTTCAGATATTGTTTCTTATTGGTATATTTTCTCGTATAATTTGTCTATTATCATTGCTGATATCTCAATTAAACAATTAAGTTGGGTATAGTTGGGCATATCAAATCAACCGCAAGATATATAAACCATCACATCCAAGCACATCACCACCTCTACTTCTTCCCAACAATCCCCCAAGAGGCGAGACGCAACTACTTCCTCCCCCCCGTTCTCCTCACCAACCCCTCAATAACACACCCTTCCTCCCACCCAGCAGCCCCCCTCCCCGTCCCAGCCCTACACCTCGCACAACTCTTCCCATGCCTAATCAACAACTGATGCAAACTGTACTTCAAACCATCCGGCACCCTTACCTCCAAATGCCCAAACGCTGTTACCTCGTTCACTTTACTGCCGGTAGTGTCAGGAGGCAACCAGCCCAGCCACTTGCTGATGCGGAAAATGTGCGTGTCGACGGCGAAGCACGGGCGTTGTAGACAGAAGAGGATCACGCAGGCGGCGGTTTTTGGGCCGATGCCCGGGTAGCTGGTTAGATGGGTCATTACGGTGGGGGTGGAGAGGTGGTGGAGGTGGTTTAGGGAGAGGACGTTCTCTTCTGCGCAGGCGATTTCATAGTCTTTGCTGGCGGGTGATTCTGACTTAATACCGTCCGGGTTGTTGGTGTTGGTGTTGGTCAGGATGTCCCGCCGTTCCTGATTCTCCTTATACACCAAATCCAGAATCCTCTTAAGATTCTTGCTCTTCACATCCGCCAACCCACCCCTCTTAATCGCCTCAAACACATCCCCCACCGACGCCCGTCGCACGGCATCCCAATCCACACTCCCCTTCCCAATCCCCTTACTCAGAATCCCAAACCTCCGCACAAGCCCATCAAATGCCATAGCCGAGTTCTTCCCCGTAGTAGCACCGCTGAGAAGCGTGCGGATTAGCGCGTCGAGCACGGAGGGCACCTCGCCGCAGCCGGTTACTGTGAGGGAGGGTTCGGGGAGGGTTGTTGGGGGTGTTATCTCGCCGTGGACGGTTGTCAGGAGGCGGGCGACTTGTTCGCATTCGGTGGGTGTTGGGCGGGGGTATGTTGGGAAGGGGGTCAGGCCGGGGGTTAGGCCGTATGTATTCTTTTTCGGCTTTTGGGGGGTGGGTTGTTGTTGGGTGTGGATGGTTTCGGTGGTTCTGTCGACGGTGGATTGGAGTTCAGTTGCTAGGTCGGCTAGCTGTTCGCGTTTGATGCCGGTGTTGCTCTCTGGTGTTAGAGGTGTAGGCAGGGAGCCTAGATTATGGGGGAGGTCGTTGGTTTCTGTTTTCGAGTTGGTTGTCTTTTGTTTTTTCGCGCTGGGTTCATTCTTCTGACTGTGGCTGCGACTGCGGCTGCGTTTCGTTTCGGTTGGTGTTTCGGTGTCATTTGGCTTTGAAATATCTGGGAGTAGTTGAGGGTCGTTTTTAGCTGCGAGTAAGGCTGCTTGAGCAGCTGAACGGGTGATGCGAGCCATCGTTGTGTTGATGTTGGAGCAGGCGGAGTGGTTGTACTCCGTAGTAGGTTGGAGACCGGTTTGCTATGATGCAATAGCCAACTGCTGCAAAACATGCAAAACAGCTCGACTTTAATCGACAGTCCCAACTACGATAGTATCACTACAAGTCTACACACACAGTAATATATATCAAATGCGCATTGATTTATGCTATATGCAGCGGGGTATTATCCAATCATACCCTTCATGCAAATCGTCAAACAAATCTACCTCCCATTCATCGTCTTTTTTGTTTCTCTGTCTATCAGACAAAACTCCAAGACTCCGGTGCCATCGCACAAACAAATATCATAACACGTAGAAAAGAACAAACAAAGAAATAAAGAAGCTCACCATGAATGGTCACCAATGTTATGGATGCTAATATCCATCCGGTCCTTGACGGCGGGGTGCTCGACGTGGTTGACGCCTCCGTTACGGACGGCGCTCATGCCGACTGCCGGGACTTCCGAGTCGTTCGGCGAGTCGGCGGGGATAATTTTCCCGGTTCCATCGAGCTTGACGCCGTTGGCGGCGATTTGGAAGTCCCGTTCACTGGCGTATCCGTGTGCAACGGCTTCCTTGGCCTTGTCCAGGGCCTTGACCTTGCGACCTTCGCCACGGATGCGCTCGAGGTGGTTGAGGTAGCCGTCGGAAACGGGGGTGACGTATGAACCACAGAAAACTCCGACTTCAAAGTCTTGAGGCTCGGAAAGGCCGTTCTCGCGTGCGATCTCGGCGCAGGATCCCTTGAGGTCGTCGAGGGTTTGATAGATGACTCTTTCGGCGCCAATGTGGCGCGAGATGCCGTCGATGTCGCGGTTGAAGGCGATAAGTTCGGAGGGAGAGGCCAGGTCGATACCGTAGATGTGGGCGTGTGTGATCTCGGGCGAGCAGCTGGCCAGGTAGACATTCTTAGCGCCGGCTTCTCTGGCCATCGAGACGATCTCCCGACTTGTGGTACCACGGACGATACTGTCGTCCACCAGAAGGACATTTCGGTCCTTGAATTCAGCTTGCATGGCGTTCAGCTTTCGACGAACACCCTTTTGCCGGGTCTTCTGCTCAGGCATGATGAATGTCCGGAAGATGTAACGGTTCTTGACGAAGCCTTGGCAGTAAGGCTTGTCCAAGTACCGAGCCACAGCAGCTGCCGAAGTAGTAGAGGTCTCGGGGACAGGAATGACGACGTCAATGTCCTTGACGGCATCAGGCCCGAGAACGTTGAGAACCCGCGCGGCCAGACGGTCTCCCATGCGTTGCCGACTACGGTAGACGCTGATTCCGTCAATGACGGAGTCGGGACGAGCGAAGTAGACGTATTCGAAAATATCAGGGGCGTAGGCCTTCTTAGGAGCCACCTGACGGAACACAGGCTCGCCACCCTTTTCGATGATAACAGCTTCACCCGGCTGGATGTCCCGGATGTTGGTGAAACCCAGCTGCTGCAAAGCAACCGACTCAGACGCCATCATGTAGTCCATGCCCTCGCCATCGATAGACGGCCGAGAACCAAGAGACAACGGACGGATACCGTACGAGTCACGGAAACCCACGATACCAAAGCCTGCCAGCATAAGCGTGCAAGCCCATCCACCCTCGCAACGCGAGTACATTCTACCCAGAGCAGCAAAGAGATCTTCCCGGTTCACACGGGCCTTCTTGGTCTCGCTCAGTTCATCAGCGAAGATGTTGAGCATCAGCTCACTGTCACTGTCGGTGTTGATGTGACGGTGAGCCTCGAGATCCAGATACCTCTTCAGCTCGGGGGCGTTGATCAAGTTGCCGTTGTGAGCCAAGCAGATACCGTAGGGGCTGTTCACGTAGAAGGGCTGAGCCTCCGCGTTGGCACTGCTGCCGGCGGTGGGGTATCTCAGGTGGCCAATACCCATGGAACCGGGCAAATCAGCGACTCTGGCACCATCCTGGAAGACACGAGCGGCGATGCCGTTGGCCTTGAGCTGGTAGATGCGACCCCCGGATGCGCAAGTTGCGACACCTGCGGCATCTTGACCGCGATCTGCAGCCGTTAATATCCCAACTTCTAACCAATATCTAGACGGAGGACTCACGCTGAAGTAGGTATAGAGCCTCGTGGAGGTCAACGGCGGCGGCGGACGAGGGGTTCGCCAAGATCAGAGCGATAACACCACACATGATTCTGACACATTAGTGTTAGCAGTTGTCAACCACAGTAAATGCAATGTAAATAGCAATATAAGATCTCAATCAGTCGGGATATCTCCGCAAAGTGCTTAGGAAGTCTAACATCTATAAAAAACCGAAAATCATCATAAAGAGAGGGATGGAGGGGCAAACCAGAGCACGACTTACATAGTGTGTAAATGATATAAGGAGTGTAAAAAGAAGAAGATGTCTATACAGACATACAGTGAGCTCAGCTCGAAGGAAGATCAAAAGGAAGACGCAAAGTCATGGTGAGAGTTAAGAGAGAGTGTAGGAAGAAGAGAAGTTTTTTTCTGCATTTTCCTGCCAATTGATGGGGGAAAATTTGGAACCACAAAAAATCACAAAAAATTTTCGGGAAAATCCAGCGGAGCGGAGGACCGATGCCGGAGTGACTAAGCGGTTCATGAATTGAGTTATGCAATTAGTTATGCAACACCGTTGAGTGTATACAAAGGTACATAAAGCACCCAGTCAGACAGTCGTAGCTTTGTCTACGTATAATTCCTTTCAATGATACACGGTTCTTCAATAGGATAGCATAAAGGAACTCCAACTCATGTCTCATGCTCTCCGTACTCCGTACATATAAAGTGAATGATCAGCATTGCTGGATTCATCCCAATTTAGGTGGCTAGTATACTGCAATATTGCTGTTATTCTTAGTATCTTCTGCTTCGTAGAGAAGATCAATATGGGTCACAATCGTCTGAGCCGCCGGCCTGACCCCGCCATGGAGCTGATAATAATCGATGATAGCGACTATGACAGCGATAGCACCGGTACAATCGACAACGACCCGGATGCGCGGTACTTTTTGGACGTCGATGCTGAATCTAGTACTGGACATCTTGCTGCAGCTCCTGCTCTGCTCTCGAGTTTGGGGTCTGGTGCTGAAATTGTTGACCTCACCGACGGATCGCAATGCTTCAACGAGGGCGACTACCTCACGGACGAGTGCTTCCAGAGACTGGTCAGCAGTTGGCAAGAACCTGCAGCGACAGCGGTTTCAAGATCCAGTCGGGGGCCAGAAAGGCGCATTATCCCGGAAGCGTGTGTGGACAGTATTCTCTACCGACCTGGTCAGTCAGTGGAACTTTACGATGAGTCCTACTTGCACATCAAGACCGTCGTTGAGGATGGCACTGGCTCTGTTTTTCTTCATGGACGTCGAATGATACAAACGGCCTCCCACCCCGACACGTGTGTTCCCAAATGGCAGAACGAGCTTGTATGGATGGTGGACGAGGTTAAAGAAGTTCCTTTGGAGATTGTCAAGCAGTTCGTCTCCATTATATTCACCAATTGGTGCAAGTTTGAAAGAGAACAGCAATATAGATCGAAACTATTCTGTCGTTTGAAAGAGACCAAAAAGGCCAACGCAGCTGCTGTCGAATACCTCTCATTTGAAGATGCAGACCCCAACCACCGCTTTCATCCCAGGCTTCTCCGTCAGAATTGGAGGGGTGATACGAGGTTGTTTGGAGAAGCAGATAATGCTGGAAATGAGGCTATTGACCTTGACGACTCTCCGGTCATCGATCTGATGGACAGCAACATCCGGCGGTACACGTTTGGTGATGGCTTCTGCGGTGCTGGTGGTGTCTCTGCTGGAGCCAGCCAGGCCGGATTCAACATCAAATGGGCCTTTGACAAATCATCTCATGCGGCGACCACCTATCGCCTCAACTTCCCGACGGCTATGTGCGAGGAGAGTGATATCTTCAGCTTCTTGACCAACGATGCAAACTTTGTCCGCGTCGACGTGAGCCATGGCTCTCCCCCCTGTCAGACATTCTCTCCTGCCCATACCATTGAGTGCGCAAATGACGATGCGAATTCGGCTTGTATCTTCTCGTGCTCTGATTTAATCAAGAAGGCCAAACCGCGAGTTCACACTATGGAAGAGACCTGCGGGTTGTTCGAGAGGCATAAGGAGGTCTTCTTCCGGGTGATTCAAGACTTCATAGAACTGGGATATTCGGTCCGCTATGGTGTCCTGAACTGCATGGACTATGGGGTGCCCCAGTCCAGAAGACGACTGATCATCATTGCCTCCGGGTATGTGCCTAGCCTTATCATTTGACCACAGCTAATGTTTTGCAGTCCTGGCGAAGCTCTACCTCGGTTCCCCAAGGCCACGCATGGTCTCCCAGGTTCTGGTCTGAGAGAATTCGAAACGATCAATTCCATTATATCGAGAATCCTATCCGGAGCTCTGGATCATGACGTCCAGGCTGCGCTAGACCGGGGCCTGCGCAACGGGATACGCCTCCCATTCGACCCCAATCAACCAGCAAGGACGGTCACCTGTGGTGGAGGTGATCTCAACTATCATCCCTCTGGAAGAAGAGGTTTCACCAACCGCGAATTCGCGTGCCTGCAAACATTCCCCATGCGATACCGATTCGGCCCGCGAGAGATTAGAAAGCAGATCGGGAACGCCGTGCCTCCTATTCTGGCCAAAGCTATATACCAGGATATCTTGAGGTCATTGAGGAAGACGGACCAGAAAGAGAATGAGATGGCTGTTGGCGAGATTGTGATAGATGACTGATATTTGATCCCCGCTATATCCGCGGCAATCGGGCTACAGGGCTGCATGGATCTGGTGTTCGGTTACCTGTATGCACGAAGGATTGGAATTGCGTTCGGAGACATGGATATGTCTTATCCCAATTGAAATATCACTCTCTAACTTTGTAGCATGGTGCTGTGTACAGAGTACTGTAGAGTATCTCTACCCCGTACCCCATACTCCGCAATATCCGCTACGGAGCATCCGCCCGACCGACCAGAACAGCTCATGGGCTTTAATTTGGCACTGACAACTATCTCTGGAGGGAAGCTCTGTAGAGAATGCTCATAGTAACAATAGCAGCATAGCAGTCTCTGTAAGGCAAGAATCATAGTCACATCAGTGACAGTCACCCGGCATCGGATGGCCGGCTAAAAGCGGCCTCGGCTCAATGAAGTCACCTGCAGAGCAACAACACTCCTTGTGTCCTTTACCTTTCCTTTAACTTGTTCTCTTCTTCTTTTCTTCTCCCCATCCTCCCTCTCTCAATTGCTCTCACCATTAATCCTATATTCAATTCCCTTCTCTCATACTCTCCGTTATGTCCACCTGTGCAGCGTTGCGGGCGACCCACCGAGCTCCCCGCACTTTGTCCTCCCGCATTCTCTCCGCCAGACCTGTCTCGCTGACCTCTTCCTCTTTTGCTCGCAACACCACTACCTTCAAGACCCTCAATTCCTCTGTCCCTAGAGTCTCTCGTTTCTCCACAATGGCTCCCCTCCAGCAGGCCGCTCCCACCACCGACAAGAGCTATGATCCTGAGATCAAGGACATGGCGGATTATATTCACAACTACAATGTCAACTCGGACTTGGCTGTATGTTTTCACCCTGATAAAATGATAAGATGAGTGGCGGAACTGACTAAAGATGGGTAGTACGACACCGCTCGATTGGTCTTCCTCGATACCCTCGGATGTGGTTTGGAAGCTTTGAAGTTCAAGCAATGTGCTAAGCTGCTTGGTCCCACGGTGGAGGGAACCGTCGTCCCCAACGGTACTCGCGTCCCCGGTACCCCCTACCAGCTGGACCCTATCAACGGTGCCTTCAACATTGGTGCTATGATCCGTTGGTTGGACTACAACGACTGCTGGCTGGCTGCTGAGTGGGGTCACCCCTCCGACAACATGGGTGGTATCCTGGCCGTGGCTGACTGGATTGCCCGCACCAACCGTGCTGGCGGCAACCTTGGTAACGGCAAGATCCCCACAGTCAAGGATGTGCTGGAGGCTATGGTCAAGGCCCACGAAATTCAGGGTGTGCTCGCGTTGGAGAACTCGTTCAACCAGGTCGGTCTGGACCACGTCGTGTTGGTCAAGGTGGCCACTACCGCCGTTGTCTCCAAGCTGCTCGGTTTGACCGAGAGACAGACCGCCGATGCCATCACCCAGGCGTGGGTTGACGGCCAGTCCCTCCGTACCTACCGTCACTCGCCCAACACCATGTCGCGCAAGTCGTGGGCTGCCGGTGATGCCTGCCAGCGTGCCGTCAACCTCGTCCTGAAGGTGCAGAAGGGTGAGGGTGGTATGCACTCGATCCTGTCCGCCCCCGGCTGGGGTTTCTACGACGTCCTGTTCAAGGGCAAGAACTTCTCCTTCCAGCGCCCTTACGGCAGCTACGTCATGGAGAACGTCCTCTTCAAGGTGTCCTACCCCGCCGAATTCCACTCCCAGACCGCCATCGAAGCCGCCCAGATCGTCAACAAGAAGCTCGCCGAGCTGGGCAAGAGCGCCAAGGACATCAAGGAGATCACCAACCGCACGCACGAGGCCTGCGTCCGCATCATCGACAAGCAATTCAAGCCCATGGACAACTTCGCCGACCGCGACCACTGCATCCAGTACATGGTCGCCAACATGCTCGTCTTCAACCGCCTCGTCGCTAGCGACTACGCCGACGGCTCCGAGGCCGCCACCTCCCCGCTCCTCGAGGACCTCCGCCAGCGCATCCGCTGCGTCGAGGACCCGCAGTTCACCAAGGACTACCACGAGCCCTCCAAGCGCACCATCCCCAACGCCCTCACCGTCACCCTGCACGACGGCACCGTCCTCGACGAGGTCTCTATCGAAGCTCCTCTGGGCCACCGTCTGCGTCGCGAGGAAGCTAAGCCTGAGATTCTGGCCAAGTACAAGCGTCACCTGGGCGCGCACTTTGACCAGGCTCGTGTTGACCAGCTTGTTAACTTGGGTAATGACAAGGCTGCGCTTGAGGGCTATGAGGTCGACAAGTATGTTGACTTGTATGTTAAGGAGAAGATGATTGAGTCGGCATAAATGTATTTTAGATTATATGATATTCTATGAATAACAACGAAATTATTGAGTTAAATATTGTGGATTCACTTGCAATTCGAACAAAAAACAAATTCAAAAAGAGAAGAGAAAATAAGAAAGACGAGCAAAAAAGAAGAGGTCCTGCCCGGGATCGAACCGGGATCGTTGGAATCAGAATCCAAAGTGATAACCATTACACTACAGAACCACTGTTGAAAAGAACCCCACTTTAGAGCTTTATAACCAAATATCTACCCTCGTACATCATCAAGCCCCTAATCACCACCCATTCCCATTCCCAATTCCACCCCTTCAACAACCCCCAACGCCTCCCTCACCCTCCCCATAATACCCTTAACATCCTCAACCCCAACACTAACCCTGATAACATGATCGGGCACATACCCCGCGACTTTCTCCCTGGTGTAGAAATTCGCCAGCACAATATACGGAACCGCGATTGTGAAATTCGTCCCGAAACTCGTGCCCTTGCATACATTTAGCGCGTTGTAGAATAATTCTGCGGAGAGCGGGTTGTGGAAGATTATGCTTAGGGTGTTGGTGTAGCCGCCTGTTGGTTTGCGGAGGGAGTTGTATATCCCTGCTGTTGGGTGGATGGAGGGGTGGTTTACTGTTTTTATTGACGGGTGAGTTGTAAGCAGCGGGAGGAGGGCGAGGGTGTTTTCGTTGGCTGTTTCTGTGCGCTGGTACAGCGTAGCGCTGTTGGTTAGGAGCGTTTGGATGTCGCCCGGGAAGCAGGTTGTGTTGGTTTTTGAGAGGGCGTTATGGATTGAGTCGTGGTGCGTTGAGTTGGGGTTTATTACGATGCTTTAGCATGTTAGCCTTCGTTGCATGGGCATGGGCATGGGCATGGGTATAGAGGTTCTGGAAAGGTAAAGGGACATACCTCCCACCCGTAACATTTGAACTACCACTAAACCCCTTCGTCAAACTAGTCACCACGACATCCGCGTACGGGAGTACATCGATATTAACAAACCCCGCCACGGTATCATCACAAACAACAATAAACCCATATCGATCCGCCAGTTCCCGGATCCGATGGATATCAGGACATGATAGCGTGACGTTACTGGGTAGTTCGCAGAAGAGAACGTGCACCTGGTGTCCGGATTCCAGGAGGGATTCTAGGGCATCGAGGTCGGAGGAATTGCCGGCTTTGTAGGAGATGGTTTTCCAGGTGCTGCGGAGGACGTCGACGGTTTCGGGGTAAAGCCAGCCGTATGCGATGGCTGTGGGGGTGGGGTTTAGTGAGGAGAGGGTTTGGGATAGGGTGTGGATTGCGTTCATTCCTGTGGGGAATAGGAATACGTCCGAGGGGGGCACGGGGAGTTGTCCTGATTTGTTGGAAGTGGCTAGCTGTGTGATGAATGATTTTAGATTGAGCATGGTAGTTGTTGCGGAATGTATCCATGTAGTATCTGGTGTCCTGTCTGGGGCCCGTTTTTGAGGGGCGCTGGTTTGAAACTCTGAATTCGAGGAATCGGACTCCATGTAGCCGAATTCTTGCAGACAATAGGTCGCATGGCGCATGGATAAGCCCGAGCCGGTATTCCGCCAGAAAGTCATTGCTTCTTCGATAAGATCAGTTGAAAATATAGCTGCCGAGAAACTGGCCCAGTGGCTCGATTCGGGTATAAAGAAATGGCATGTTTCGTTTGGGGAGCTGCTGTCAAATGATGTGATGCATTGTTGGGCATCTGGGCGAGAGGCAAACAGCAGACAGGTGATGTTTTCATCGGTGATTTTGAGTCGATGTAAAACGGCCGTGGATAATTCACGAAGGGGTTTATTGATGTAAAATCTTGTTTATTAGTCGGTTTCTTCTAGTACGATGCCAGTTGTCTCACCGGGGATAATTCCATTCCACATGTTTCATCACCCACTCCTCTTGTCGACAGACACCGAATACCGAGTCCCATGTTGGGAGCGAACAACTGATGGCCTTCGAGGTCAGCACCAATATAAAGAAGGTGGGCTAAGACTTACATGTGGTTCATCCAAGGGGTAGATATTGGCTTTGCCTAGAGGTAATGCGCTGGGCACCTCTGGAGGCATCCACTGGGAGTCCATATTCGGTCATAAGAATGCCCAGCTGGAGTGGTCATTTTTGTGCAACATATAATGCTGCAGTCATTAGACCGCTCACCATATTGAGCACGCCCAGCAGGCTTCCCCATTCTCTCCCAGATATATATACCGTTGCTATGGACTGCGAGCTACAGCTTGAACCTGTAAGCCAACACAAAACCGCATACCGAGATGAGACGAGTATATTGTATCCAGACACAATTAAGCTTAGAAGAAGCACTGCTGGACACTCATGACCGAATGCTGGTCGTTACTATGGACTGATTGATAACAAACAACACTATACCGAACTGGGACAAGTCATGTGATCTTATCAGGTACGCGTCTTCGGCCTTCAACGTTGCTCCTGTGCTATTATTCTATGATTTACTCAATGGAAATGAACAGAGGACAGAGGCCTGATCTACTGCAGTGGACATGATCAATTTCGGCCGAAAGATCAACGACAGCATCATGTTCAATACACAGAAGGATGAGGCTCCGTATACGCGGATAGGGCGCTAACTCATGTACCCCGGATCCTCGAATCGTGAAAGCCATCTTCACCGTCTTTCCTTGGTATCCCAATTGGAACTCAAGGAACCGTAAAGACCATATGACCTGAAAACGAAACGAAGTACTTTTGCGGGGTCTGCGGGGAACGCATCTGTGCAATATCCGTTAATAATAGATTCGATATTGGGAGAAGGTAAGTGTTGATCGTTTTAATATTCCCAAGACGGAATGGCTAACCATAGCGGAGCGTAGATGCTCCAGTCCCTAATTAGACACGTCGATTGCCGAAAGCAGCACGAGATTCCTTACTAAAGCGGGATACCCCATACCTTGACTATAGTATCAGATGCAGTGACAGGGAAGTCATAACTGGGATCCTCATACCGGACTGCCTCTGCATACCCCGCCGCACTGCATGGAATGCTTCCAAGCTTCTGGAATCCTTCTCGGGAATAATCGACTTCTCAGGACCAGGGTGTTCGACTTCCTTCCATCCTGTTCGTTGTCTGTCCAATGGCTGGCGGATGGCACTTGGCGGTTTCATGGCGCTGCAGCCAAGATTCGATGGATTGGGATGGGCGAAATTCATGGTTCCATGTGGCAGGCCTAGGGCTACAGATGCGTTTCGGAGAGGTATTATGCATAAGTCACTGTATAGGGCCGATATGCATGTTCCTTGTTCAGTATCCGGTTTACGCCACGATGATACCATTTTGCCAGGATTTGGCTTGACCCGCTTTACTTGGCATGTACAAGGACTACGGGACATCCCTTGATGGATCATTCGTTCGTAACACTTGCAATGATGTTGTGACGGCACGCCATAAAAGGATATATGCTAGGTATACAAGATGCAAAACAAAGAAAACAATATACCGACAAGGACCAGCTCGCCAATAAAATACCAACTAGTCCGGAAAATACGCTGCTTGGCATATTGGACAACGGTACCGGCCGTACTGAAACGACGATGCAAGACACGCCGCATGGAAAGCATGACCACAGCTATTCAAAACACGAATCTCACTGTTTGTCCTGGTCGACCGACCCTCCTCAAGTACCCGCGGAGAAACAGGGCGACGATCATCACGACTATCATAACCCGCGTAAGAATGAGATACAGGAATCCAAGCGGCCTCAGGAGGTATCGGAAGTGAATCTCGAGATGAACACAATCCGAGCGATGATAGACAAATTGCACTGGCCAATGATTAGCGCTTAAGTTTATGCCGAGAGGACTAGCGTCAGCCCTGTCCCCGCCAGTTTCTTGGGCCAAGAGTGCCCAGAAATCACCAGAGAGGCTGGGTGAAAGGAAAAGGACAACGAGGGAACCCACCATATGTCGTGAGAATACGGCTCGGTTGAGCTCGGTGCGTATTGTTGTTCTAGCCAGCGCTCCACGAAGACTTGTTGCATTGGCATGGGGCCGTTGTCGGGGCATCTGAAGGATGGATAGGTGTCATTGGACTGCATTTCTGGTTGTTGCTGTTGTTGTCTGACATTGCGCCGTCGACGGATTCTTGCGATGATGCTAATTATGGGTAAGCAGGAACACGAGCCAAACGCTATTCTGGTTGTCTCCCCCCCTCAGGAGTTACACAGCGTGGGGAAACTTACACCGGAGCAGCGCTGACCAGCGTAAACAGGATGACAGCTCCCACGATAACCCCGACAATCTCAGTTCCAGAAGCACCTAGGGTCATTGGAGTGGATACTGCAGCAGCTTGCAGGACTAACAGAGTCCTCTAAGAATAATACCAACGAGGATCCACCGGTATCGATAAGGAAGGGAAAAGCAGCAAAAGGAAAGGAAAACCAGGAAAATAAGAGCAATGATATACGAGAACGACGCGGGGTCATCCAATGAAGCCGAGAAGAGCCACTCCGCCCATCGGATAGGTCGGCAGCTTGGCCAGGCTAGGCATACCAGCGGGGGTTTTTCTAACCGACACCCCTGTCCGAAGAGACTCTTGGACCCCTCCGAGGAGAAACGCCAAGCCGGCGCCTGCGTCAACAAAATCCCGGACGAAAACCGAGACCGTCCCGCCAAGACTCCGCGACCGCGCGGGAACCTTGGCATTCCGCGATCCACTTGTCTTTCACTCACCAACCAATCAATACCGACACGTCGTATCTGGATCCAATGGTTCGCCTTCTTTCTTTGAGTCAAACCCCGCTTAGGGCTGTTTGCCGACATCACGTGCTCGGACCATTGGTCGTATGCGTCATGCTCACTTTTCAAGCGGAATTTCGCTCCCCGAGCCAAGAATCCTCGCCAAGGATATCTCACGTGCGGCTCTCTCATTGGCTCCCGGCCGGTCTTGGTATACCATACAATGATAACATTCATAGCTATGATGCCAGAGGTTCCATGTCATCGACTCCGGGGGGGCGACAAAGGCGCCAAGGCAAAGATACTGGATTCTGGAACGAGATTTGGATCTGAGAAACTTAAATATGTCGATTCCCCCCGGAGGCTGAATGGAAATGACACAAGAAGTTCAAAAGAACAAGACGAGAAGAAGCTTAGGTCGTATTAGCACGGTCCGATCTGTATGGACTCTTATTGTTTGGAAGATACGATCTATATGGAACCTCCCTAAGATAGCTACGAACGATCTTTAGAACAACAACACAACACAACGAAAGAAACAACACAACACAAAGAATACGATGGACGAGCAACGCCGGAAGGAGGTGCAGGATGTCGACGCTTCTACCATCCAGCCTCTTTCCCAGCCCGCCCATACGCTCTCCCCTGAAGCGACCCTCAAAGAACTCTCTACTAATGCAGACGAGGGTCTCTCTTCACAAGACGTGCAGAGACGTCTCGAGGAACATGGCCCCAACGAACTCGAGGGTGGTGAGGGTGTGTCCTTTGCAAAGATTGTGATTAGACAGATTGCAAATGCCATGATGCTAGTGAGTTTTCTTCTCTGCCCCAGTGTTTTGCTATTTTATGCTAACGTCCTTGTAATGAAAGGTCCTTATTATTGCCATGGCGGTTAGTTTCGGTATTCAATCCTGGATCGAGGGTGGTGTGATTGCTGCGGTCATCGGCCTCAACATCGTCGTAGGTGTATACCAGGACTTTGCGGCGGAGAAGACTATGGATTCTCTGCGGTCTTTGAGTTCGCCTACCGCGGCTGCGACGAGAGATGGTAAAACGAATACTATTCCTGCCTCGGAGATTGTCCCGGGTGATGTGATTGAGTTGAAAGTCGGAGACACTGTTCCTGCTGATCTACGGTAAGTCTTCCCTTCTTTTACTATCTAGGTTGTATAAGCTAATGTATTCATGGGGTAGACTCGTCGACGCAATGAACTTCGAAACAGACGAAGCCCTCCTCACCGGCGAATCCCTCCCCGTCCAAAAAGAAGTCGAAGCCGTCTTCGACCACGACACCGGCCCCGGCGACCGTCTAAACATTGTATACTCCTCCTCAACTGTAACCCGCGGCCGCGCCCGCGGCGTCGTCGTCGGCACAGGAATGAAGACTGAAATCGGTGCGATCGCAGCAGCCCTGCGTGGTGGGGACTCCAAACGTCGTCCCGTCAAGAAAGGTCCCGAAGGGGAGACCAAGAAGCGGTGGTACGTGCAGGCGTGGACACTCACGACTACGGATGCCATTGGACGGTTTCTGGGCGTGAATGTGGGAACGCCGCTGCAGAGGAAGTTGTCGAAGCTCGCGCTGATGTTGTTCTTTATTGCGGTTATTTTCGCGATTATTGTTGAGGGTGCGAATGACATGCGTGGTGATAAGGAGGTTATTATCTATGCCGTTGCGACTGGTCTTGCTATGATTCCGGCGTGTCTGGTTGTTGTCTTGACGATTACTATGGCCGTTGGCACGAAGCAGATGGTCCAGCGACATGTTATTGTCCGGAAGCTTGATTCTCTCGAAGCTCTTGGTGCGGTGACGAACATTTGCTCTGACAAGACGGGTACATTGACTCAGGGTCGCATGGTTGCCAAACGCGCCTGGATTCCCGCCAAGGGGACTTACTCTGTTGGTCCTTCGGATAACCCACTGGACCCGAACGATGGAGAAGTCAGTCTTATTCCCGAGACTCCTATCGCCATGGACAATAACGCGCAAGGAGAGACTGCCGGCAGCGACGAGTTGTTGAAAGATAACTCTCTTCTAGAGGACTTCCTCAATGTTGGCTCCATGGCTAACCTGGCACACGTCCACCAATCCGAGCAAGAGGGTAACCAATGGCAAGCACGTGGTGAGCCCACGGATATCGCAATCCAGGTCTTCGCGGCGCGCTTCAACTGGAACCGCACCCGTTGGACTAAGGGCGAGAAGCCTGTCTGGAAGCAAAAGGCCGAGTACCCGTTCGACTCGAGCGTGAAGAAGATGTCCGTCATTTTCTCTCGAGACGAAGGCAGCGAGAAGCACCGCGAGATGGTCTTTAGCAAGGGCGCTGTGGAGCGCATTCTCGAAACCTGCACTAACATCACCTGGACGGATGGATCGTCCAAGCAGCTCGACGACGGTCTCAGAGACCAGATCTTGCAGAACATGGAAGCGCTAGCCAAAGAAGGTCTCCGTGTCCTTGCCCTCGCCTGTCGCGACAACGATCCCGGCACTACCAGCGGCAAGGAAGGCGACGAGCCACCTGCCCGTGAAGACGTCGAGAAGGAACTCACCTTCTGCGGACTCATCGGTCTCTACGACCCCCCTCGCACGGAGACAGCCGGCGCCATTGAAGAATGCCACCGCGCTGGTATCACAGTGCACATGGTCACCGGTGACCACCCCGGTACTGCACGCGCGATCGCAGCTCAGGTTGGCATTATCCCCGCCAACATGGACGAACTCGCCAAGGATGTCGCGGAAGCTATGGTCATGACGGCCTACCAGTTCGATAAGTTGACTGATGACGAAATCGATGAACTCCCCACACTGCCGGCTGTTATTGCACGTTGCGCGCCGCAGACCAAAGTCCGGATGATTGATGCGCTGCACCGTCGTGGTCGCTACGCTGCCATGACGGGTGATGGTGTGAACGACTCGCCATCGCTGAAGCGCGCGGATGTCGGTATTGCCATGGGCGAGGCTGGCTCTGACGTCGCCAAAGATGCATCGGAGCTGGTCTTGACAGACGACAACTTTGCCTCCATCATCAACGGTATCGAAGAAGGTCGCCGTATCTTCGACAACATCCAGAAATTCGTCCTGCACTTGCTCGCTGAAAACGTCGGGTTGGCTTTGACGCTGCTGGTCGGCCTCTGCTTCAAAGACGCAGACGGCCAGTCCGTCTTTCCAATCGCCCCCGTCGAAATCCTCTGGATTATCATGATTACCTCCGGTCTCCCCGACATGGGCCTGGGGATGGAAATCGCCTCGGCAGATATCATGGACCGCCCGCCCCAAAGCAAACAAGGTATTTTTACCTGGGAAATCATCATCGACACCCTCGTCTACGGAGTCTGGATGGCAGCTCTCTGCCTCGCCTCCTTCTCCCTCGTCCTCTTCGGCTGGGGTGACGGCAACCTCGCCAGCGGCTGCAATTCAAACTACTCAAAAGAATGCGACACCGTCTTCCGCGCCCGTGCAACAACCTTCGTCTGCATGACCTGGTTCGCGCTCTTCCTCGCGTGGGAAATGATGAACCTCCGCCGCTCGTTCTTCCGCATGCAGCCCGGCTCCAACAAATACTTCACCCAGTGGATGTTCGACGTCTGGCGCAACAAATTCCTCTTCTTCGGCATCATGGCCGGTTTCATCCTTACCTTCCCGATCCTCTACGTCCCCGTCATCAACGACATCGTCTTCAAACACACCGGTATTTCGTGGGAATGGGGTGTCGTGTTCGTCGAAGCGACGCTGTTCTTCCTCGGTGTTGAAACGTGGAAGTGGTGTAAGCGGATCTTCTTCCGCAGGATGGAGAGGAAGCAGAAGGATAAGGACAGGGCGCTTGGGAGGGATCCGGCGACGAGGTCGAGGGAATTTAGTCAGTATACTACCATGAGTCGGTCGGATACGGAGAAGCCGGAGGCTTCGATGGTTTAGTATAGATAGAAAAGTTGGCATTTTGTATTTAGGAATTGAATTGTATTGCATTGTTTATATAACTACTCGTGTTTTCCGTAACAATGGACTTGTAAATAAACCGCTTGGGTTTGTGACAAAACGTTATTATGAAATATAGAGTAAGATATCTAGTTGGTGCCTAACAATTAGCTCGCATGGCTTAGTTGGTAAAGCGCATCACTAGTAATGATGAGATCCTCGGTTCGAATCCGAGTGCGAGCATTTTTTTATATATTATAAATATATTTTTGACTGTCTCTTTTTTCCCCCTTAGCCATGCTAAGGCAACACAGTCATAACTAACTAGTTAGTTAATCGTGACCATCACATTCACCTAGTTACATTGTCCTCTCCCATTCTAGACACATTGGTTCAGCATGCAAGATGTCTTCATATCACTTACAGCCAGCTCCTGCGGCATCTGATGTAGAAAAACAACAGCTTCAAGCAGAGCTTGAACAACTCCAAGCTGAACTGCGCAAGCAAGAACTGCGTATTGCTATAGCACGGAAAAAGCGCGCGCTGGAGGGTGGCGAGACCCGGCTTGAGTTTTATAAGGGATTTCGCGGGGATAATTCACTTGGATCTAGGCACTGTTCTATAACGCCTGATATAACGCAAACCAGTGAATCGCAGGAATTAACTCATGACTCCCCTATCTCACATATGGTACTCAACGACACCATGATATGTCCAAGAGAAGAGACCGTTTCTGCGCTATGGAAGCGAATCCAACGATACCATGTCGTCCACGTTAGGGCCACACCCGGCAGTGGCAAGTCAATATTGCCTCGACTCCTACAGGACTACGTACGACGGAAAAGTCCCAACATGCCAGTTTACTGGTGTAGTTGGCCAGAAACAACCCCCGAGAAAATCGGACATTGCTACGAGAAGTTACTGAAGTATGCGTTCGATGTACCTTAAACCACACATGTCAACTGGGCATTACGAGCCTTACTTATTGTCGACCATGCCCAGAAAACGTATAGTTGCAAGACTGTCTGGAATGATTTTATCAAGTCTGTCACTCCGCATACTGCACCTATGATTATACTATTCTCGTCTTGGGGCTCTGCTACTACTATATGTGAAGAAGCGACGTCGACTACGCCGATTATAACTACCAAGCCCCAGCGAATTTCAATTTGACCGTCTCACGCCTCAGACATTTCGGTCTTTTTTTACCTATGCTGAGTACTTGGATGTAGTTGAGCGAGTGAAGGCGTATGAGTTGCGATTTGGCCAGTGTTTTCTTCCCGACTCAGACGTCGTGGAATACGTCTGGCAGATTACGAACGGGCATCCTTCGGGTGTTAGAGTGATGCTTGAATTGTTGGCAACATCAGAGGTAGCATCACAACCAAATTTTCTAATTTTATGCTAATTGGTTACTTTGCAGAAGCTAAGACACCTCAGAAAAGCAAGCTCAGTCATCGACCTCAAAGTTGCACTTGATATCCTTGGACAAGACCTAATACCCACTCTCGTTCAGAATGCCACATTTGGGCGCGGCTTACCCCCAAGAGACTTTTTAAAACGAAATCTTAAGGTTGCCAATGTGCTCCAGGATGTCCTGCTGAACGGCTCCGTCACAGGAGTATGGGAGCCTAAACAAGGAAGATTACACCAGACTGATGGCACCGTGAATGCGTGCTATCACAGAGGTTGGGTGCAGGCAGAGTTGGCTCCGACAGAAAGAGATGAAGACTATGATTTTGAAAAGACTGTTTTCATTTTCCCCTCTGACCTTCACAAACGGTACGTTTTATTCTTTCCTGGCTATAGTACTTAGCTAATTCTATCAGATGTATCGAGTGGTTCTTGTCTCTCGAGAAACCACCATATCCTACTTCGCAATAGGTTGTGCATGGAAGCAATCAAACGGTTCAACCCACTCGCCATAAATTCTACTATCGGAAAGATGATAGACTCTGCGGCAGAACCTCAGCCCCTAGAGACGGTATACCAAGGCAAGGTATACCGAATTCGTTTCTCCCTCCTAGGGTGCACATACCTCTTATGCGTGCGGAGCTAAACAGCCTGTTTGGGAACAACAGTGGGATCGGAAGGGCGATGTCAATGACTGAGGACACCCTCCATGACTGGTTACTTGATGACAATGAGAGCCGGGTCAGGTTCGACGAGCATGTGTAGCGGTTTTTTGCAGGAGGTCGATACCACCTGTGGATGGTTTGGGAGTGTTCCGATCAATTTACAGAGTATGTATAGACGGCCCTTATGTGTATAACTATCTTGGTTGATGCTGACTGGATACAGAGGATCTAGTTCTGTGGCTCTATCAGTACGAGGTGTATGATTCTCAGCTTCAAAGACAGGACGGATCGATAGATCTATCAGCTTAGGCCTGATATGAAAGATTGCTGATTGATTGGGCGTAAATGGTCTACACTGTCGAAGCGTCTGTTTCGAACGGCTTTTGCATAGCTTGAACAGTACTTCGACGCCTGCGGTACTAACATTGATTGGCACTATTCTGAATAGAAGTTGCATCTATTCACTTATGCATGAGTGAAATATGGCGAGTTCGTACTCGATAATCACTCGTCTACCAGAACCGAACTTCGTTCACCCAAGAACCAGTCCCATTCACAGGCTATCGTCAAGAGAATACTCATACAATGACTATTTTTCAGTACCAAGAGGAACCGAGGCAGTCTATTGCAGACATTCAGGAGCTTATGGGATGACCAAAATTTTTAGGGAAATGGATTTGATGTCGAGATTGTTCAAACTGCGGGCAAAACGACAAACTGTCAACAACGGTGAGTACTACTGGAACGAAATTTGCACGTTGCTCAACTGGGTTTTATTCCCTCCAATTGACGTGACTACCGAAGTGTTGGTATGCCCTATAGACATCGATATAATACCCATAATCTTGGGCTTCAATTCCCATGATACAAGTGCCATCTGGGCAAGCCAGGGCCACAGCAAACAGTGGAAACTCGACCCTGTCTCGACTCTTACCTTACAGCCATATATACGGGAAAGCCCTGAAATGTAATCTATCGCCTCTAGACCAACAAATTACCGGGACATGCACACAAGATTTGGCGATTTCAAAACAGACAATCGTTATAGACTCGGTACGGTTGTCGCTGCTTCTGGAAACAACCGAGTGAGACGGATCCGTTATATTTGATCAGCAGATGGGAAAGACATCAAAGATCTGTCTGCTAGATCAATGATGTTTAGCGCAATTGGATCGTCCCATGGACCCTACTACTTATCGAATCATCGAAATCAACATGGTCATAGCGGACCTTCCAACAACCATTGTATCTAATGTGACAGACCCAAGTGTCCTCAAAATTATGGCGGAAAAAAGGGCCACAAAGCTCCCGGGACCACAGTTGTCACCTACGCGAGGGTAACCCTTGATGTCGGATTGTGAAAATAGAAGGAAAGTGATATATGTCGCATACAGATGACACTATGCGACCTTGTATAGGCGACAGGATCCAGGCCGTCGTTGAGGTGAAGAAGGTCCTCATAATTGATTACCCACAATGCACAGGGTTCGAACTTACGACAGCAGTGCCAATGGGCTGTGAAAAGAACAAATTATCATCCAATGCGACGTTTGGCTTGCCTCCCCAAACGCTCTGCTCATCTGTGAGTTCCTCGAGAACACCGATATCGCTTTGCGACCTCGCAAAGGGGACAAACGCCAGGCAACCGCTGAAGCAAAGAAAGGCATTGAAACTGGCGTAGAGCCAACAGTCACGAAGGAAGTTCTCAGAAATTGTCATAATGATCAAAACAGGCTGAGGAGCCGAAGCGGCTTCAAGCGAAAATGGATCCGGCAAAAGACGGTAACTATGATCTCGAAGAACTGTCTACTAACATGAAGGGATTTCCCCAGATATCTGCCAACGGAGTCTGACGAGAAGAGTTATGGTTCATATGGTTTCGCTCGCTGGGCCAGGGGAATCCCCCGTTCACTGCTCCTGGAGATTCGGGCAGTTTTGTATACGCCAATGAGTCCGGAATCTGCACCACACTCAGCGTGAATCATGGTCCTGGGGCTTAAATTATACTGACAAGCAAGTTGGGGTCACCCTCTTTGAGCCCAGTTTCGAGCGATGTTACGGTTTCGTCTGGGGCTAATAATACCGTTGAAAGGGAGAGTGATGTCTTAAAAAAAATCATATGCTCTACTAAATGAGTACATGAAATTAGTACATGAAAGCTATCAAAAGTTTCGGCCCTAATACCCTGAAACTTACTGCCAGAAGGCTAAAGCCCTGTGACAGAACGCCATCCCAGAGATTGTCTATCAAGACAAAAGCTATATCGATCCTGTTTCTTTCCTCTGAGGTAGGGTACATATACCTCCCATCAAAGTGGAGGCGAAAACTGAAATAATGGACCTTTCAATTTCCTTTTTCGTGGCATAAAGTGGGTTGCCGCCCTTAATTTGGACGTCGTCCTCAAAAAGAAACACCTGTCTCACGCTTCGAGAGAGGTTGAGAGATGACAAATGACTAATTCTGAATCCTGCTCTATAGGATGTTATTCAACACTATCTGTACCAAAAAAGAATCTTTCTGATTATTGTCTAATTGTTCGTGCAGACCACCGACTTAAAGAAGGCTGTCTCTAAAGTGGACATTTTGATGATTGATTCCGTCCCTGGTAGCGGTCTTAACCGCTTACGATACAGAAAAGGAATCGAATCGTTTGAATTACAAGCCAATATCACCCGAGATGGCTCAGGACGTCGTAACGCTATTTCGCCGAAGTGGTCTATACGCTCATAGTGATTAAGAACACTTTGTGCCAACCAGGCCACCGAAGTCTGGACCCTAATCACGAAATCAGCTATGCAAATTATTGACCAACTACAATCGACTCACGTCACTGGATCCAGTCCAACCAGTATGTAAAGGCCAACCAGGCTGTGCCATATTCAAATTTTTTTTTCATTTTCATTTTCATTTTTTTTTCATTCAAATGAAAAACTGGAAGGAGAGAAACATGAATACTTCCATGGCGGCAATTGACCCTTATACATGGACACTCAAGGGCAAGAGGGACAACTGCATCAATACCTACCGGAGAGGACAACTCAACGTGCTCCGTATACTTCAAGCATGGATCACTCAGATAAATGGCTCTTTTAGCTAGATGGAGGCTGCATATCAAGACGAACTTTACAAGTTCTGGCTTTTTCTCCTAGGGTACATTATACCCCAGAGTGGAACAGAGAGAGAAAACGGGAATCGGTTCATGAAAGGAGGCAATTGAATGCGTCTGTGACATACGGTCGTGCTTGTTGTGTGTAACAGGCCCTAGCAACCTGAATGCAACACCGAGACTTCACCTTAACAAGTCCTTGGAAGACCTCATGACAAGAGGCTCTAGGACCTTTCTAACACTCTTGCTATTACATGGGATGTGTACAACTATACACAAAGCTAGCTCTTTGGGAAAATGCGAAAGTCGCATGACGCGGTCGTTGACCGCAAATGATGAGCATCTCTTTAGGATTCGGACGGGTCGTTTTATGCCCCGAACAAGTGACCCAGAGAAAATACCGCTCCTCCAAGTCGCATTGTTGAATACGCAGTATAAACTGAACCAGGTGATGTCACTTTCCTGCCATTGAGAGTCCAGTCCGCAATAAAAAAAAATACGTGGTAGGTATCCAGCCTTTATTACCGACAAAGCTCCCGGCAAGTCAAACTGAGGATTGGTTCATCCGAATGAAAGCGATGGGTGAAGTTGGGGTACCATTGTAGCTCCTCTGGCAATGCACCGCCATTTCCTTCAGTAACGACTACCATCAACTTAACAAAATTTCGAGCTCAGCCCATTCAATTGAACGAATAAACGTCCCTCGCGAATGTCTGTTGATATTATCCTCACACCATCCACAATATGATCCGTATGTCGATTGTCTGCCAAACACACATACACCGAGTCAGTCTTGCGATCCGCTCTGTTCATTCTGGGAATGATGTGCTTGTCCGATGCCTTGAACATATCGTATTCAAAAGGAGAGTACCGGTCAGCTTCAGGCCAAAGATACAAAGGGATGACTGTACAGTATGAGTCCCAGAACAGTGAGTCTGTTGGTGGGTTACTTTATGACGCATTGAAATAGAGCAAAGTACACTACGCGAATCACGCCTTGCAACGCATAGTGCATGACAAAGAAGCCAATCTGTGACGTTCGATGAATCCGTCATAGCTGATGAGTGACTTTGCGAGAGGAGATCTTGATTCGAACGGATCTACACGACACGACCTATGTTGGTGACCGACAGATTTACAACTCCATCGGATCGGGTGGCATGTCACTGCCAGCCTCAAATCTCCCAACCTCGTTGAAAAGGATGAGCACATACCCCTGTAGGGATGCATGTTTACGCAGTCGACGAATACTCTAGGGTCAAAGAGATCACCATCGCAGAAGACAAGTCTGACCATATCCAAAAGGCCACAAGAGATCTGTTCTGGCTGGCCTAGGATGAGTCAGTGAAGTTTTACCACACTAATCTCCTCACGACTAAAACCACCAAGAGATGGCGACCACTACGAGCCAGAATAAGAGCCTTAAAAACGACGACTGGAATCTAACGAGAGTCGGAGGCGAGTTGCAAGTCTGGAGCATGCAGTGGGGGGTAAAGGGGTACTCCACAGAAACATGTGAAGACTTCATATGTAACACTCTTCAATGGATTGTCACTAGGATAGAACTTGAAGGAGTTTGGTGTGCTTACTCTTTTAATGGAGAAGATGACTTTGGACGTGTGGGTATCTATTTCAGGTGCCGTGGATGCAAATACTAGCCCTACCAATCCAGACGTCACACTTGTTGGATGAACAGTATTTCAAGTACGCATGAAATCATATCAATAAGCACAAACCAACACCCCAAAGCCCAAAACAACCCCTCAATCCGCCGTCAAAACCCTCACCCCCGCCTTCCCCTTAACCTTCATCCTCTCCCCCGCAACCCCCAGCCCAATCTCCCAACAAATCCAATGCCCATGCTTAATCAAATACGACACGAAATCCGGATACACAGACCGGTCATTGAATATAGTCCGCCAAAGTGAGCGTCGCCGACCTGTCCACTGCAGACCATCGGTTCGTAGGCTGATTTCGAAGAGTTTTCCTATATCGATTGGTTCAGTTTGGCCTTCGTCGGGCCCGACGGAGACTGGAAGGAGTAGTGGGGGGTTGCAGGTGAGGAGTGCGATGTGGTGGGCGGTGTTTTGGTCGAAGTGGGCTTTGCTTGCATTGAAGGTTCCTGGGGCGCGGAGATCGGTTTTGGCGGTTATGGTTAGTTTGAGGGAGTGTATTTGTATCTGGACACTCTGCAGGGTACCTCGGATACTCTCGCTCGTCTTGTTGGGCCCAAGCTCGGGGACGACTTTCACAGTGAAAGGTATCGGGAGGGGATTATCCAGCTGCACCGCCGTGGGCATGCAGACCTCAAGTCTATACATAAACTTGGGCACGCGGGACGAGCCAAAGAACTTCTGCGTTTTCTGCCGGAAGGACAAGCGCGCGTCTTCCCTGCCCGGCTCGAGTCGTTGGCTCTGAACGGTTAGTGACGTGCTGAGCCAGCGCTTGGTTGCGTAGTACAGCAGCGGAGGCTCGCTGGGTGTATGCCGTATTACTACTCGGCAGGTAGCCCTACAGTTGACGAACGACCCGCCGCGCGTATGCCGCAGCACGGCTTCGAGATAGTACTCGATGGACCCATGACATTCCGTGCCGCTCCCGAGATATCTAGAGCATGAGAAACTCCCCGGTAAGGTATGTCGCGCGACGCTGCCATCATCTAAGGAGAGATAGCTCTCTGCTGCAACATGGCGTTTTATAGCAGATGCTGAGGGCCTCCCCGGGATAGTCACTTCAAACGGACATGTCAGGTACTTGTCCACGTCCGCGCCCTCTGGTATATGCAACGGGCCTCGGAAAGCCTCATCCCACGTCACCGGCCACAGATTCCATGTTGTCCCGTACTCGCGCTTCGAATTACCGTGGGACTCCTCGAATTTTGTCACCGTCTGGCCTCTGAGGGATAGCTTTAGGCTGGCGTCCGGGGTCACGAGGTGTGTTTTGCGGACTATGTTGCCGATGATGGTGTCGCCGGGGGCGAAGGTCCAGTTTGGTGGGGCGGCGAGGGAGATGCTTAAATCGCCCGGGGGAGTGGTGGTTTTTAGGATGTCGAGCATGATGGTAGACTTGAGAGTGCTTGGGTTGAGGGGTTGGGTCTGTTTATAGGTTGGATGTTCGTATTGGGGCATCCAGCCTCGTGCTTAGCCTGCTGGGTATTACTGGCCCTAGGAGTGTCTTAGCTCTTGCCGATTATACGAACACTTTGACAATAATGTAAGAATTATAGTAGTCACGAGTACTACAAGGAACAAACATGAAAAGTTTGACGCTAAGTGCAGTACTAAATTGCATTGACTAGTTAGATACGATTATGCACGAGCTACGTCCTGCGCAGCTCCCTCAACAGGGGCCTGGGCCTCCTTGAACGAAGACTGTGTCTGCGGCTCAGCAGCCGACAACCCAGGCTTCTCAAAGCTCTGCATGGGATAGAACCCCCATTTCTCAAACATCACCCGGTCCTCGCCCCAGCCGTTACAGTCCGTAGTCAACATCTTTTCGCCCGTGAACACGGCGTTAGCACCGGCCATGAAGCATGCGATTTGTTGTTCCTCGGAGAGGGCGACGCGGCCAGCTGCCAGACGCACGATCGTACTGGGCATGACGACTCGCGCCGCGGCAACGGTGCGCAGAATCTTGTCGAACGGGATCATCTTGCGGTTGCCGAGGGGTGTTCCGGGGATGGGAACCAAGGCATTGACGGGGAAGGATTCCGGGTGCGAGGGGAGGGCCGACATGGTGTGCAGCAGACCGATGCGGTCGGAGTCCTCCTCGCCAAGGCCCAGGATACCGCCCGAGCAGACATTGATGCCGGCGTCGCGGACGTGGCTGATTGTCTTGAGACGCTCATCGTACGACCGCGTCGTGATCACGTTCGGGTAGTACTCCCGCGACGTGTCCAGGTTGTGGTTGTACGCGGTCAACCCCGCATCCTTGAGCTCCTTGGCCTGTTTGTCGTCGATCATGCCCAGCGTCACGCAGACTTCCATGTTCATCTCGCGGATTCCGGAAATCATGGCTTTCACGTTCTTCAGACTTGTCTTGCGACCCCGCATGTCTCGCCAGGCGGCGCCCATGCAGAACCGTGTGCTGCCGTTTGCTTTGGCGGTGCGGGCTTTGGTGAGGACGTCGTCGACGGGGGACATTTTGGTGGCTTGCAGGCCGGTGTTGTAGCGCGAGGACTGCGCGCAGTAGTTGCAGTCTTCGCTGCAGCCGCCGGTTTTGATGTTCATTAACGTGCACATTTGGATTGCGGAGGGGTCGTGGAAGCGGCGGTGGATGGCGGCCTATCACCGGTCAGTTATTATCAACGATATATATATATATATATATATATATATATATATATATATATATTAAATGCGAAAGGGAGGACATACAGCAGCATAAGTCAATTGACTCAACGGCGTTTCATAAATCTGCTGGACCTCCTCACGGGTCCAGTTGGTTCTAGGGACACTCGCTGCTGTGGCTTCCTGGAGGGCGATTGGGATCCGACTGGGCAGCGAGCCAGCACTGGGGGGACCTTGAACGGTGCCATAGGCGCGAGCCAGGCGGAGGGGGCGTAACCGTAACAGAGACATGATGATGGTATATGATAATGAAGAGGAAGATGAAGAAGAGAAGAGGTGATGAAGAAAACGGAGGACCAGTGAGTACTCCGTAGTGAGTAAAGGGCAGTGATCGGAGGGGCTCGGTGAACCAAGTCGGCGGCTGCAGGTCTATTACGGAAATCCAATACCCAACGCTTAGATATGCTTAATTGTAATTCCACTAGTTATGTATAAACTACGCTAAACTCCTCCGCAGCAAATCCTCCAGTGCCCGTAGAGACGCCGGTTTCGTGGTCAGACTGGCCATTAGGTATAGCACATTGCCCAATACCCGAGAGTGGACATCGGCTGCGGAGAGCTTTTGCTGGAGGCCTTTAGCCGCGGTAGAGGTGTATCCTATCATTGATTAACACTTAGCACTCAGTAATATCGTGAAAGAGGGGAAGGGGAAGGAAAATACCTCCACCGGCCGCATCGCGGAGGGAAATACTTAGCACCGTTCCCAAGGCAAAGATCCCCTCGACCGAATCAACGCGCGACAAATCCGTGACCAAATCCGGTGACCACAGGCTCCAAACAATCTGGCCTTGGCCCTGATCGACAGCGCTCGCTTCCTGCCAATCTCTCCGGTAAGCCTCCCAGAATCCCCCACGTTCCATGGTAGCCATGGTCCGCAGCGTGTCCACGGCAACTTGGCATCCCACGGCGTGTGCGGTGTAACTGTGGCCGTGAAGGAGGGCGTCACTTTTTTCAGGGCTGGAAAAGACGTCGAAGATTTCCTTGCTGGCGAGGGTGGTGCATAATGGCACTAATCCGCCGGTGAGGAGTTTGGCGTTGACCGTGATGTCAGGGTGGACACCGAGGAATGACGCAGCGGCTCGACGGCCCAGTCTGTGCAGGCCGGTGAAGACCTCGTCAAAGATGACCGGGAGGCCAGACCAGCCGTCACTTTGCTGGGCCGTAGGGTGGAAGAGCTCTGGCTGAGAGCGGACGACATCGACCAGGCATCGTTGGAACAGGGGGTCGCTGTTTCGTTAGTTATCCGTAAAATAGAGCTGTAGGGACGACGTACCAGAATAGCATTCCACCGGCTCCTAAGAGCACCGGCTCGAGAATCAATGCCCCGAATTTCACTCCCTTTTGCACCTGTTCCTGGATACTCTGGTGGATGAACTCGCGGTACCGCCGAGCAGCCTCCGATCGCACTCGCGCATCGAGGTCAAAAACAGCCTGTAACGACGAGAACTCCAGATCAGACCCCAGAACATCCCCCAAACCACCCATCTGCACCCTCCAAACCCCGTTCACCATCGTCACCAGCGGAAAGTCAAACCAGTACCCCCGACCGCGATACCACTCGACCTTCTGGTTGTACGTCGACGGCTCCGAACAGTCCATCACTCCCATCGTATCTCCATGGTAGCTACCCTTCAACCCCAGGATCTGAATCGAATCCTGTTGCGCATCCCAGCCATATCGCACAGATGCCGTCCGTAGTCCCATCTTAACAGCCACCTCCATCCCCGTGCTGCCATTGTCGGTATAAAACACCTTCTGCAGACGCGGGTTGTCCAACGTCTGCAGGAGTCGCTCGGCTAGCTGCAATGCAGGCTCGTGCACGTTTCCTGCGAACATGACATGGCCGTAGCGACCGGCGGCATACGCTGCAGATAGCGACAGATCAGGATTCCCGTGTCCCAGACCCTGTGTCCACCATGAAGCTGAGCCGTCAAAGGTCGGATTGAGCTGCTCATTCTGGGCGTCGGATTTGGAATACACCTGGAAGTTGTCGCCGTAGGCTGAATCGATTACTCCGATGTCCTTGGCGGTCATTCCCTGGTGCTGTGTGAACGGGTACCAGACCAGCTCGTGCGCCCGGTCTGCCATGCCGTCCAACCGTTCCAATCGCTTCTTGTGTTTCTCCCCCATCTCCTCCAGCAAACTGGTGATATCATCCCCCCGCGCGACACCCTCGTAGTACCTGTCCATATTCTCCTCATCCCGGGCGGCGCTCTCCTCCCTACCCGGCGGCCCTGGCAACGGTCGCAGGGGTATATTCTTGCGCTCGAAGTAATCACGTAGGTACCGGTGGTTCTGGTAGTAATCGTCGCGGAAGAGCAGTACCGACTGCACGTCGTAACCACGCAGCACGAGCGACTCGTAGGCGGAGATGGACGAGGAAATACCCCCCAGTCGACTGTCGGCAATCAGCACGATGGGGAGGCGTAGCGGACGGTAGAGATCGGCTTGGGAATTGCCATTGGGGCCGGGAGAATGGACGCCTCCGGCTGTTTCGACGAGGGAGAGGTTGATTCCGGTGCGGTGCCAGTCGGAGAGGGTGCTGGAGATGCGGCGGAGGAGGGTGTCGTCGTTTATCTACAGTATTAGTACCTCTATCTTGCCAATTGCATAGAATTGAACTCACATCCTCACTCACAGCCAAATGAGGACTCACAGGCTCGTCAAACTGGTACAAACAGCGGGTGATGGTGCCCGCTCCGAACCGCCGCAAATGGCCATCGTCGGCCTCGCTCAGATCACCCGTTGACACCGGCTTGAGGAAAGCAGCTCGTTGATTCTGGCGCTGAATAGACCGGCATAGAATCGTCGACACAATTGTCTTGCCCACGTCTGTATTGGCGCCGTAGACCTGGAGAGCACGCAAAGAGCGCCAGAGAGTCATGGTGTATGTACCGAGGTTGAGGGGTCAATTCACCGGAAGAAAGATAGAGATGGTGGACCGTTAGGCTATTTATCTTTTAGTTCTTATCAATCAATCAATTCTAAATCCTTCAATATGACATGCTAGTATAATGGCTCTCCATGATGCCTTTCGCAGCGCTCTCCAAAAGCGCCAGTCCAAATCGTCTCGTCGCCAATTGACTCTCCGTGCTCCCAATGCCATCGATTTCTCCTCGAATGACTTTCTCTCGCTGTCGACTTCTCCTCTCTTCCGCGAGAGATTCCTCTCTCTTCTGAACCAAGCTCCGCCAAATTACCCATTCGCCAGCGGCGGCTCACGCCTCCTCGACGGCAATTCCTCCTTCACAGAGGGACTCGAACACTTCATCGCGAACTTCCACAACGCACCAACCGGCCTCCTCTTCAATTCCGGCTTCGACGCAAACGTAGGCGTTCTCTCGTCCATCCCTCAGCCCGGCGACGGCATCCTGTACGATGAACATATTCACGCCAGCGCGCACGAGGGAATGCGGTTATCCCGCGTGGGATGGCGGGAATCCTTCTCGCATAGCTGTCCGGTGAGTCTGAGGCAGAAATTGGAGGAGCGGGTACGGCGGGATCCCGGGATCGCGAGTGGGGAGAGGAATGTGTTTGTTGCGTTTGAGAGTGTTTATAGTATGGATGGGGATGTTGCGCCGATAAGGGAGATTGTGCGTGTTGTTGATGAGTTGTTGCCAGCTGGGAATGCATATTTTCTTGTTGACGAGGCGCATGCTACGGGGGTTTTGGGGCCGAGGGGGGCGGGTGTTGTGCAGGAGTTGGGGCTTGAGGAGAGGATGTTGGTGAGGGTGCATACGTTTGGGAAAGCGTTGGCTAGTCATGGAGGTATGTCACATTTCTTGGATGGTGATTGATGGTGCTGATGACTTGAAGCGATTGTGTTGTGCTCGCCGGATACTCGCGATTACCTGATCAACTATGCTCGCAGTCTGATCTATACCACGGCCCTGGGATATCCATATCTCGCTTCTATCCGTGCAGCCTACGAGCTACTGTCAGAGGGACATGTCGAACCAGTACGTCCATCCCTCTAACCCAAAATAACAGTAACTAACAGCGCAGCACCGCCAAACCCTCCAACACCTCATTCACCACATCCGCCAACTTCTCCTCAACCTAAACCCCGGACACTTCCAACTCGACCACTCGCCTTCATCGCCCATTCTCTCCCTCCGCACTCTGTATCCCCGACAACTAGCGGATGTTTGTCAGAAAGCGGGGTTTGTTGTGAGGGCAATCATGGCTCCGACGGTGCCGAAGGGACAGGAGAGGGTTAGGGTGTGTGTGCATGCTGGGAATACGGAGGAGGAGATTGAGGGGTTGGTGGGAGTTATTAAGAGATGGATGGGTGGGAAGTTATGAGCAACAATGTATCTGCTAGGTTTTACCTATTGGCATTCTTGAAGTCTTTAATAGGCACAAATGACGATGACACCATGGTCAATCCATTTGTCTAGAATGATATACTTTGCTGAAGACTATTCCAGGGTAATATTACACTGAGCTACTAAACCAGGTTGTAAGGCTGTGTCAGACAAAGCTCCGACACGCCACGCTCACCTCCCCAAAGGCTCTGGGATGCGGCTCTTTCTCCTTCCATGTTCTTATATTAAGATCACTTTTCTAGAATCGAGAAATTCTTTTGCTACTGTGCATCTACTGCATACTAGAATACAATGACTAGGGTACAATGACAAGCCTCTTCCAAATTGACCATGACTTGACCGCTACCCTTCATGACCTCAGCGACGAGGAGCTGAGCTCTTTCGTAGAGCTACACGGGGACGGGGTATATGAGTCTCAAAATCAAGTATTTATTTTTGCATGCCTGCAGCTGTACGAAAGAGCCGGTTCGTCAGAATGAGTCGAAAGAGCTTACACACAGGCCGAGGGATGAAGAGCGGGAGCAGTTGATGAAGCCGAAGGTATACGGGCAACTCGAATCAAGGCCTTGATACACCGCAAGACAAAAGCCAAGCAGCATAGAGTGACGGACCAAGACGCGGACCGGGATGCGAGTGATTTGTTCAACGGGACCAGGTACAAACAAACGAACGCATTGCACGACCTCAACAAGACAATTGCATATGTTGAGCATGTCACCAAAGTTATGCCCAAAGGTCATCCCCAAACACCGGAGCTCCTGGTCGGCTACGCAAAATGGCTTGTTGAAAGATACAATAAAACCCGGAAAAACGACGTGAGATATTTGAGCGAGGCGATACACCTTATAGAGGAAGTGCTCAGCACCGCAGTGCCGACGCACCACGACCGAGCGCCACTTTTGGGTCACTTGAGTGACTGGCTCGGCATGCGATACGACAGAGCAGGAGATCAAGCGGATCTAGGCCAGGCAATAGAGGCCTCTCGACTTGCTATAGGTGGCTTGCATGACGGTTGCGGCCTTCTCCCTTGGCTATTGATTGGCCTCGGGAACAGGTTATCCATAAGGTTCCAGGCTACGTCAAACGATGCAGACATCGTTGAGGCTATTGGGCGCTTCGAGAATTGGCTTGCGTATATGCCACCGGATGATGCCAATAGACACGTTGTGTTGAACAATCTGGGTCCATGTCGTGGGGTGAAATATGAACGAAGTAACGAGATTGGGGACCTGGATCGTGCTATATATTACAGTGAGCTGGCAGTTGAAAGTCTGGCTTCTGATCGATCCAACGAGGCTCCTCTACTTGCAAACCTGGGGAATTTGCTCCTGCAACGATACGAGAGAACCATTAGTTTGGCGGACCTTGACCGAGCGGTCGAATCGACCAACCTTGCTCAGCAGAAAATGGGCCCAAAGGATTTGAACAAGCCGCAGGTGGTTGTGGATATGGCAAAAACTTTGGGCGAGCGCTTTAATCGAGATGACGATATAGAGGATCTTAACCGTGCAGCCAGACTAGCGGAAATTGTCGTGGGCAGTACACCCACGGACCATCCAGAACACCCTAGCTGGCTCATTCAAAGTGCCTGTTGGCTTACACTACGATTTGAACGTACAGGGGCACTGGCTGACCTTTGGCCACGCGGGCCACTGAAAAGGCCCTGCAGCTGGCACCTCTAACGGATCCCAAACGGCCAGCCTGGATGTGTAGCTTTGCAATCTGTCATGCGGCTGTCTTCCATCGAACGAAACAGCGGAGTGCGCTTGATTGTGCTATCAAAATCGCATACGAGTCGCTACACGGCATGTCTCCGAGTGATTATATGCTCCCGCGGGTCTTGGACAATTTGGCAACCTGGAGAGGAATGGCCTAGAATATGGTGAATAACTACCTATTGGTGATTTACTCATCTGCCTATTCACGCAGCAGGTCGTCACGGACAGGACAGCTGGGAGACCGTCATAGACCGTGCCATGTCCCCATACACATTATCTGTAAGAGCGCTTATTCGCAGCCGTCAATCAAGCTCCGACGGAACAACCGACGTTCCCAGCCAATCCGCATTTGATAGGGCTCTGGTAATCTCTATGCCTGAAACCCCAAATCAGACCCCTCTTCCCTTCGCTGCTGAGGAAGCTGCGGTGGTAAAGTCACTGTGCGACCTAATGAATCTCACTATGCGCAGCATTTCTTTCACACTTAGATTAAAGCGAATCCCCATTCTACGAGCCGGATTCTGGAGGTATACCATGCATGGCGAGAGTACGACGGCACGGTTTACATTGTTATGGAATGTATACACATCGATGAGAAGACAACCGTGACAGACGAACAGAGAGCTCAAGCCATCACGGAGATATTCAGAATCCCGCCGCCTCCTGGTGTTTTCGGGAGTTTTAATAATGACTGTGTCTAGTATCTATTCTTCGAGGAAGATGAAGGGCCTATCGGGTATTACTGCGTTGAGCAGGTAGAGCACGATCCTCGGCCTCCAATGACTGATGAATCGGATCGCAAAGAATACGACGGCCCTGTCAAGGACCACGCTACCATCCAGGCAACTTTTGCCAGACCGTTACGATTCGTAACCCCCGATGTTCCAGAGAATACAAATGGAGTGCAAATCAAAGTGAAGGTCAATACAAGGGCTCCGGCGCCAGCTGGTGAAGTTGAATCGGTGCTGTCGGTGAAGACGACACTGCCGCCCCAAAGCAAATAGACAAGGGCGGGTTCGAGCGTGTCCTGACACCCGGTGCGAATTATCCCATGGTAAATGGGGTTGAAGTGTTTATACTGCTGATGAACGGCTGGGATGGCCTCTCGACGGACCCATCATCCATTACAAGGCTGTTTCAAGATCTTCACAACTCATCCATTTTAATTATAGCAGTTCCAATGCTGAAATTTCCCAGGTGAGAATATCTCTCCGCTGCTTTTTCAGCGATCCGCGATGGTTACTTTGCAGAGGCCGATGCATGGGTCATATTGTTGTACGCTTAAAAAGAGGCTCAATGCCGGCGAATCATTGACATCCTCTAATATCTGGGGAAAATTGACATATTAATGGTATTATCATTTGCTGTCAGTCTAAGGAGCCTTGGCGGAATCTCACGCTTCTGGCAAGCGTGGGTATATCAATGTCGTTTTGCTTATCCGAGAGTGAAACCAGTCCAATATGTTCGCCTATAGTGGACAGGGTTCATTTCTCGAGTTGGGCTAACGGTTTGACACCACGGACTCATCGACCGTCAACTTCAAACAGCTTATAAAGCCAAAATGCTTCTTATGCAATTGGGACGGGATACCGCGGTTGCCGCGACTATGTGCTATATCTCCTGGGCCGCAAGACGTTGATCCATGTTATTAATGTTTTTGTGCTTTCTTTGCAACAGCTCGACGCAGCACCGGTGTATTATACGCGCTGAGTTGCAAACATCAATCAAAATATCAGCCGGAAGACCGGGTCCAAACAAGTAGCGGTTCAAGTGGATATCTTAAAAGAGGAGACCTCCGAGATGACGGAAAAACTCACAAACCAATTCCTTACAACTCACCTTCAAGAAGCCTCGCATACTAACTCTTATGGAAGTACTTGTACATACAGAGTACATAGGACTGAAAATGACATCATACCACGTGAATCACCCAAATAGGAAACCAACTGACAATCCCAAAAAGGATAAACCAAAATATGATTATTTTTATACAGAGATCCCGCGGGAGGCGCACCACAGCCTAGTATTCCGTAGGCGATACGACCTGCAGCTCTAGCGCATAAGCCCCATTGCTTTTTCTGGCAATAGCGCTGTTCGCGCGCGAAAATCAGCCAATGCGAGTGAAGGGTTCATAATCAGACACTACAGAGGGATCGGGATGGACTTATGGAGGTGGATTATGGAGTGCAGGGTGGAGAAGGGGGTGGTATATTAATTGCTGCGAGTACGTACATTGTGTAGGAAGTACGAAGTGCGAGTGCTGGGATTGTTTGCAGTCATACGATTACTTGTATGTTGATCGAGGCTATACAAGTACAGCTCCGACCCAATAGCAACCCAAACTACACCACGTCAGTCGCTGGGGTTTGAGTATATAACGGGTGCCTGACTGCTTGTGCTTGCATACTCCACGTATTCGATAACATGGCGCTCCTCGATCTCCCTCCGGACCTGCTTCTCTCGATCGCCGACTTTCTTCCCGAATCCGCCTTGAACGCTCTCCTCCAGACAAACTCCTCGCTATACTTCCTCAACAATATACTCTACCGACACAATGTCCGCTATTCGCATAGCAGCGCTCTGCTTTGGGCATCATTATACGGCCACGAGCCCGTCGTCCGCAGATTACTCGACCACAACGCCGACGTGAACACCACGACCATCCATCGCGGCCCTCGCCGAGGGTTCAGAAGGACGAAAAACGCCATGAGGATAATGGCAGATGCACTGGAACGAGCGGAAAAGAGATCAAACTGCGTGACTTCGTTAGCATCGCCGCTTGTTCATGCTGCGGCGGGTGGATATGTCGATATCATGGAAATGTTAATCCAGCACGGCGCGGATATCCACGCCACGACCCTCATCAACACAAATACAACATTAAGAAAACCAAAGCGATTAGCACCCTGCCATTGCCTGAGCACCCCGATAATGACAGCCGCGAACCACGGCCACGTCCCCGCGATCAAACTCCTCCTACACCACGGCGTGGATATCAACGTCCCACAAGCTACATGTAACAGCCCACTAAGCCTGGCCGCTATACACGGCCATATCCCTGCAGTACGCACCCTCCTGCACCACGGCGCAGACGTAAACACCATCCGCCGGGGTACAACACCCCTCGTCAAAGCAATCCAAGCAAACCAGCTCGAAGCAACCCGCGTCCTCATCACAGAAGGAAACGCAGATCTCACAATCACAAGTCACCACCCACAACTATTCACACCGATATCCTGGGCTGTGAGCCAGAATAATCCCGCCATCATCTCCTTCCTCCTCAACCACGCTCCCGCAGAAATCGAACGACGAGACTCCATCGGCCGTACGCCTCTCGCTCTTGCTGTATGGGAAGAGCGCATCGAGGCAATCGAATGTCTCCTGTCTCACGGCGCAGACATCAACGCTACAAACCGCGTCGGCCAGACGCCATTATGGTGGGCGGTGCTTTCGGATAGTATCCCCGCGACGCAGACGTTATTAACGCATGGTGCAGATACGGGTGCTCTAGCACCATTAGATGACGAAGATGAAGTTATGCCAGTCCTTTTGGCCGCAATGAAGAGGTTTCATTATGGATTGGTCGAGGTGTTGTTGGAGCATGGCGTGAACCCGAACTGTCAGTCTGTTTCGCTCTCGGGACAAGCGGGGAAGGGAATGACGCCGCTTGCTTTGGCTGTGGAGTATCGGGAGGTTTCTCTTGTGAGGAAGCTCTTGCAACATGGTGCGGACCCGAATACGCGGAGTGGACGAGGCGATGCCACACTCTTGTATCATGCCATCGCCGCAGGCCATGTATGCATCGCGACGATGCTACTCGACCACGGCGCGGACCCGAACGCCCTCGTCAAACTATCTGGAAAGCGAAAGGGAAAGATCTCGCCACTGTGCTGGGCGCTCAAGTGTCGCCAGTTTGCTATTGCGCGGTGTTTGGTTGACCATGGTGCGGATTTGAATGAGCGGGGGTTATTGGTGAAGGCTGTCGCCAGGGAAGACGTGGGATTGACCATGGCCATGCTGCGCAATGGTGCGAGACAAAGTATTAACGAGGCGTTGAACCTTGCGAGGGTTAAGAAGGAAGGCATTCTCGAGCAATTGCTCACTCTATGATTGACGAGTAACGATATGATGATATGATACATGTACATACAACCATAACCACAAACCTAATGAGATACCCATCCACACACAAACACAAGGTTACGTTAAGTAACATGCTCCTTCTCTTCCTCCTTCGGAATCCTTACCCAAACCACCGTAATCAAAGCAGCAGTCAACTGCGTCGCCAGCGCAAACCACCAAATCGCCCGTAACCCCTTCAACCCGATCTCCCCCGTCGGACCCATATCCACCCTCGCCCCGATTGCATCAGCCACACTGGTTAATATCGCAGAGGAAAGATTCTGATTGGTAACCAGGAGACTCCCCGCGCTGCCTTGGTAGGAGCGCCTTACGTTGCTCGTGATGAAGATCGAGGCTGCTGCGAAGGCGAGGTCGGGGCCGAAGGTTACTAGTGCTACGCCTGGGAAGGAGAGGGCCCAGTAGATTGTGTTGGGGGTTTGCGGGAGGAAGAACGCCGGACCCATGGTGAATGCGATCATGGAGGTTGCGTAGATGTAGTGGCCCGGGAGGATGTGCAAGGTGCGGCTGACGAGCCAGGTTGCGAGCACGCCGACGACAGCGTTGGGGATGTGGTACAGGGCCACTGCGATGGGTGTAGCGTGTTGAATGCGCAGCCAGAATTGGATGGCGTAGAATTGCCACGCGCCAAAGTACGACCCAAATCCCAGGAAGTATGCGATCATGAGCGGGGTGAAACCTTTTGTTTTCCAGAGGGTTGTTGGGATTAGGGGACGGGCGACGCGGGATTCATAGAAGAAGAAGCCGACGAGTGCGAAGATGCCGACGACTACCATGGCGTAGGTGTATGGGGACCAGGAGGTCACGGAGCCCTGTGTTAGGCCGAAGAGGAGGCACACGCATCCCACGACCGCGAGGAGTGCGCCGACCCAATCGAATTGGCGTAGCGTGGGCGCTTCTTTGTCTGCGGAGTCGGCGACTGGTCGCAGATCAGGGATTGTAAAGTATGCAGCAATGCAGCATAATCCTGTGAGAATGGCATTGGTCCCGAAGATCCACGGCAGATGCGCCTTCAATGCACCCCCCTGCAGCGCTCCCAGCGAGAACCCGAACGGCGCTGTCGCCGACATGGCCGAGAATACCCTATTCTTGCGAATCCCAGGCTTATACACACGGCCCAGGATGCTCATACTTCCCGAGACAAGCACGCCAATGGCAAGCCCCTGCATTGCACGCATCACAAAAAACAACACATACCGCGACGGATGCAGCGAGAACGCACCCACAATGTTCCACACCATCAGCCACGCAAACGCACCCACCATCAGCAGTTTCGGCGGTGTAAGGTCCGTCAGGGATCCTGAGACCACGACCGACAAGCCATTAGCGACGTTGAACGCGCCGACCAGCCATGGGAGTTCGGTGTTTTTGATTCCCAGCGCAGCCCGGAATTGTTGCTGCACCACAAGTATATCGCCTAACAGGAACGAGAAGAACATGAGTCCGGCTGAGCAGACCATGATTAGGATTATCTCGGAGGTGAAACTGCGTAGTTCTGGGGGGACGCCCGATCCGCTTGGTGGCGATGGTGTGCCGGCTTCATTTGCGCCTGCGCCCGTGGATGTAACTGTATCGATGGTGTCTGTGATCGCAGCGTGCGATGGCTTTCGTCGGCGATGCTCGAGCTCGTAGGATTCATTCTCAGGGTTTTGCATGCGAGAGACGCTCTGCGCCAGCGTACCCGCGTCCACGGTGTGGTTCCTAGCACTCTGGCCCAGCAATGGATCGGGGGTTTGCGCGCCGGTAGCTGGTGTCGCGGGGGTGGTCGACAGCGACGGCGACGTGCGACCAGAGGGTAGTTCAATCTGCGGTCCTAGCGACATTTTCTATTAGTGCTGTGCTGTACCGAGTAGTGGACCAGGAGATATTTTCCCTCTAGCCTGGGGAGTGTGAATCATGATGAAAGGGCCACTAAATAGTGGCCACAGCACCAGGGCTTGCCCTGTGCTCTCTAGTTTTCTCAACTCATATCAACTGTGAAATGATCATCGCGCTCCCTGCTATGATCTGCAATGATCCCCTGCTGGTGCCGCGACTATCAGTTATACAGACCGGACGACGCGTCGTCGCATGAGGGATCGGTATGCGCTTCCGCTTAGGGTAATAGGGTATAGGGCATAATTCGAGGGCTGGTTATCAGGGCTTCATGTGACTATCTAATATTTGTTAAACTCTTCTACTACACTTCTTGGTTTTTGATATTCGCCCAGTTTCTTCCACAACATGTTCAATCCGAATCCCTCGGGGCCTCCTATGCGTAAACCCCTTTCATTGCCTGTCCACAGCGGATGAGCTGCCATCGCAATCACGCTGACCTTGAGGCCGTATCGCAACTCCGGAGACCCAATTGCTTCGCCATCCGTTCCTAGGATGGAAATAAGATCTGGAACAGTGCAGATGATGTCTAGTTCTCCCTCCGAATTTGTTAGATCCGCGTATCCAGCATACAGAAATTCATTCTGGAAAGGAACGACCAGATTGCGGGTTTCTTCGGTGATATTGGACTGATTGAGATCTTCCTTTTCGTCGTTGCGAAGAGGTGCTATTGTACACTGACCGACGGTGTAGCCTCGACTCATATCGCGTTGCACGTGGATTACCTTGCCGGTGTAGAGGACTTTCCCGGGGGTTGTGTCGAACTGCCGCTATCAGCGATGACCCATTTTATCGGGGTGATGTACTTACAATAGCTTGGATGATATTCTTCTTCGACTTGCGTGCTTGATGGATTGCACGGCCGATATACCACGCCTGCGATACCGTGTTTGGAATTGCGTATTGCTTGATCACGTCGCCGGTTAGCGGAGTGGCAGAGATGGCCACTTTGTTTCCCAAATCGACACATTGTGATCTGAGCATTGTCTCGATTCGGCGGTGCGATTCCGCTTGCTGAACAGCTTAGCATGACTCTACTACATCGGAGGAGTGCTTACCATGACTACGGCTGCATTTCCCTTGCCGTCTGCGACTGCACAAGGAACGATTGAATGGCCATATACATATGGCGTGCCTGACGGTCAGTATATGTCCGACTCATTGCGCAGTCAAATATGCAGACCTACCATGCTCAATAGTCGGATAAGCACGACCCATCAAATCCCCATCCACCACAGGAATATCATAATAAGCGCTCGACGGAAACGCAGCCAACCCATTTCCGCCACCTATTTCATCTGCTACGATCGCTTCAAAATGTTTATGACCAGATATCTTGACCGAGAAGTCAATAGCCGTCATTAACTCATCGCCCGCTGGAATCCGTTCGCCGGAGACGCTTGGTGCTCCGTACCATGAGCCAAATACGCAGACGTCAGAGTCTGCAAGGCTTTCTGGTGCGATAACTCGCATTGTTCCTTTGTATTGTGGATTGCGGAAATACTCGAGACTGTGGAGGTACTGGAGGCGAGATGGACCGCCTCCTCCTGTGCCTAAGACACCTGTTCCGGTAGCGATGAATTCGAGGTCGACGGGTGAGAGATACCAGACTTTATTCCGGACGTCGGGTCGGTAGGCTTGGATGTTCATGTATGCTGCGTGCTTGACGGTAGATACTGTATCCGGTTTTTCTCGGTGCTCGTCAACTTCTTCCAGTTCGTCATCAAAACCATTCACAACTGGCCCAGCGGTAACGGCGCTGTCAGGATTTGGCGGCGCCAGCTTCCCAACAGCCTTGATAACCAGTCGCGTAGCTTTGTTAGTGACATACTGCAAAGGAATCTGGTCAACCTCGACAATCTTGACATCCTCCCGGTCTGCACCTCTGGCCACTGCTACTTCCATAGCTTTGTTCTTGGCCTGCTCAAGCACAGCCTTCTGATCGCGATCCGCCAGGATCTCGATGATATCAATCTCACCAGCAACCTTGGCAATAGCGGCGCCCACTGCATTGGCTGAGTCGTGATGTGGAGGTGTTATGCACTCTGATACTCCGTCTAACGGGTCCATTTGGACTACTGAACCGCCTCCGACTAGGAGTAGGGTGACTGGTAGTTCTGAGACTTTCATGTCGTCCACGGCACGTTCGAGTATTTTCTTGATCTGTGCTCGCGCGGTGGTGACTAGTGAAGACGGTAGATGCTGGACTCCAGCCGAGTCACCGATCTCTGCTTTACCCGATGCGACAACGATATCAGTAGCTGTTAGTGTCTCACCTCCGAACACCATCGCCTGGCTGGTGAGGCCATGTCCGACGGACTCCGGTCCCACACTGACATTGCCGGCTGTCTCATCTAGTACCACACGGCTGCCTCCACCAAGTCCAATGGACAGCACCTCCGGCATGGAAAATGCCGTTCGCACACCCCCGACTTCGACAAAGTTCGGTGCCTGGCGCGGGAAGCCAGAGGGAAGCAATGCACATACATCGCTTGTTGTGCCTCCCACGTCGACTACGAGGACCTGCGTATCGGAGCGTAGATGGCTCGCAATGCCTTTATCCAGACCGGCTAGATATGCCGCGCCAGTCATGCTATTCGTAGGACCGCTAGCGAAGGTCTTGATTGGCAACTCTGCAGCCGTCGCGGCGTCAGTCAAAGTACCATCGTTCTGAGTGAGATACAGCGGACACTCCAACCGAAGCTGCGCCATAGCGCGACAGAAAGCACTAACAGTCCGTCTCGCCAGTGTAAGAATCGAGGTGTTTAGAATAGTCGCATTCTCTCGTTCCAAGAGCCCAATGCCCCCGATTGCATGAGAACACACAACCGATAGTGTTGGGTCCAGTTCGAGCATCAATTTCTTGCAGGCTTCCTCGTGAAGACCGCGGTGGTCCATCGGGGAGAAGACCCCGACTACGGCTACTCGTTTGATGCCGGCTTCTTGGATGCTTTTGACTGTAGACTTGATTTGGTCAGGGTTTAGGGATGAGATTTCGCGGCCATCAATTTCGAGACCTCGCTTGTTAGTTGAATTCATGAATAGGTGGATTTGACATACCCCCGTCGAGATAAAATACAGGTCCTCCGATGATGCTCTTGAGACTGGGCGGGAAATCCGTCCACGGAGGCACCTACCACCATCAGACCACACCTTTATGATCATCCAAATACAAACATACCTGCCTAGTAAACACCCCACACAACCTAACAACAGCAACCCGACTCAACCTTCCCTTATCAGCCTGCACAACCGCATTCACAAAATGCGTCGTCCCAACCGCCACACTCAACACATCTCCGCGATCAATGCCTGTCTCCGTCAACACATTCTCGATAATCGTGTAAACACCCGTCGTCACATCAGGTGTCGTTGGCGTTTTACTCGATGCGCAGACACCGCGGGATGGTGTGTCGACGGCTGTGATGTCGATGATGGCGGCGTCGGTGTTGGTGCCGCCGACGTCGACGCCGATGCGGTAGGTTTTCATTTTGGGATTTTGGGTTTTTTGGGGCAGATTGTTTTGGTATATAGGAGTTGGAATTGAGTGAGGATGTAGGAATGAAGAATGGAGGTTGATATCTATGTGCGGAGAAGGTGGTAGCGCTAAATGTATCGTGTATTATCGACTCCTCATCTGGCGTGATATGCGTGGTGGGCGTCATCTGTGAGATATGCATCCTGCATTTTATTGGATATACTTCTTTTGGCAGGTGGTATGCAGACATATCACAAGATAAGGCAGCGTAGTTGGCATGGATGCTGATAGCCGGCTTTGATATATGGCCCATATGGCCGGATGACGGGTTGAATCAAACAACATCGGATTACTATGATGTTAAATACGATACTCAAACGCCTCGAAATTGACGACAAAGACGGTCCCATCCCAAACCGATGGATGAATAACGATATCAAGCCGGTCGAAGCCGGCCGTCGGACATGGGGGTTCTGGACGTTCCATAACTTTTGTACATGCCCCCCTCCGCCAGATTATGACGAGCATGCAAGTCTAACGATGAACAGGGATTCTAATCAATTCAAACATCTCCACGTATATGACGGGCAGTTCGTTGATTGCGAATGGCTTGACTTGGTGGCAGGCCGTCGTTGCTATTGTGGTGGGCAATTTGTTGGTTATGATTTTTGTGGTTTTGAACTCGTTGCCGGGAGTTTACTATCATCGTGAGTTTGTTTCCTATCTGGAAGAAAGGAAAAGGGGCTAATATAGTACAGTTGGATTCCCAGTTGTCAATCGGTACGTTTGGGGATTGTATGGAAGTCAGTTCGTTCTATGGAATCGGATACTTTTGTCACTTGGTATGTCCCCGGCCCAGAATATCTATTCAAAGCTAACTTTATAGTCTGGTGTAAGTTAATACCAGAGAATTCGAAACAAAACTAACAAACCAGACGCCTTCCAAGCCTGGATCGGCGGCGAATGCATCTACGTCTGCCTTCAAGCAATCTGGCCCTCCCTCGAAACCCGAATCCCAAACCATATGCCCTCGTCCACTGGAATGACGACTGCCAATTTCGTCGCCTATATTGTGTTCATGGTGATTTCGCTGCCGGTGATATACGTCAAGCCGCACAAGCTGCAGTATTTCTTCTATGTCTCCGCAGCTACCATTCTCATCTTTGAGATTGTCGTGCTTATCTGGTCACTCGCAACAATGGGCGAGCGGGGCTTTGGCGATACAATGTCCGACAAGAATAATGGTTACTCCGGGTGGAACATTGCCTTCGGGATCGTGAGTACAATCGGAGGTGTCGCAGCTGGTATTCTCAATCAGAATGACTACGCGCGGTTTGCGAAACGGCCTCGCGATGCTATCCTCGGTCAGCTGATTAGTTGTCCGATGTATGCTATCGCGTGCAGTGTTATTGGGATATTGGTGACAGCGGCTACGCAGGAGCGGTACGGTGAGGCTTTGTGGAATCTACCTGATCTGTTGAGTGCGGTTATCACGCAAGGAGGATCTCGTTCACGCGCGTCGGCGTTTTTTGGGGGTGCTGCGCTGGCTATTTCCCAGATTGGGGTTAATGTTCCTGGAAATGCGTTGTCGGGGGGTATGTCTCGTTTTACCGTCTGGCAAGTGGGTGCTGACGATGAGTAGGGTTCGACCTCGCCGCTACATTTCCGAAGTATATCAACCTCCGCCGCGGTGCATATATAACGGCATTGCTATCTGTCGTCTGCAACCCGTGGAAGCTCGTAAACACGGCGACGACTTTTCTCTCCGTACTAAACAGCTACTCCGTATTCCTGGGCCCGATGATCGGAATCATGATCACATCGTATCTCGTGGTCCACCGGAGAAGAATCAAAGTAGAGGATCTATATCCGTCTCAGAATCCGAGGAAAAGTATCTATTGGTATAGTTATGGTGTGAATTGGCGGGCTGGTATTGCGGTAAGACCCTTCTATCTGTCCAGGCTATACTGTAAGGCTGAAATATCTGCAGTGGATATGCGGCACTACCCCTTCTCTGCCAGGCTTCGTGGCAAGCGTCAATACAAGTGTTACGGTGCCTATTGGCTTCACGCATCTGTTTTATATATGCTTCTTGACGGGGTTTGTGATCAGCGCGGCAATGTATTGTATCTTGCATTATGTGTTTCCGGTGCCGGAGGTACGGAGATTTGTTGAGTCGGCGGGACCGGTCGAGGTGCTGGTTAGGGAGTATCGGGAGGAATGGGATGGTGGTTCTGGGGAGGTCGAGGGTGTCGTTAGAATTGGTGGTGAGAAGACTAGCTTATAAATGTGCATGCATCATGATTCCTCTATTATTTGCAAGCCAATCAAGCTGGTCGACAGTGACATGCTCTGAAGCAACGAATCATGCCTTCATCATGAACTTCGGCCCATACTATGCGCATAGTTGTCGCAATTAGTTCAAGGCACAGTCGGAAACCGGGCAAAAGATAGCATACAAATGTAGCCCTGAGCGGTGATGCGGCCAGATGTTCAGGAAAAGATTGAGACCAAATTCTTGGCAAAAGCTGATGGAATGTAAGATATAAGAAGATCATTATCTCCTATTGCTTGATAAAGCAAGAGCTAAGAGGTTATAGGTTCTGATAGGTTGCATACCAGGTTGACGCTCTGAAAGATTGCCTTGATAATCCTGCCCTTGAGGAAGCACTCGCCACCCTACCGGAAACATTGAATGATACTTACGCTCGGATCTTAACCAACATCCCCCGCAGATGCAAGCAAAATGCTTTCAAAATCCTGCAATTCTTGGTTTGCTCTGAGCGGCCTCTGCAAATTGAAGAAGCTGTTGATGAAATAGCAGTAGAGCCTGAATGTGATCCTCCATTTAATCCAGGGAACAGAATGCCAGATCCAAGGGAGATCTCACGCTACTGCTCCAGCATGGTGGTGATTGAGACCCGAAGAGTTGGCATGACGGATCAAGACATGGTGACAGAGCTTCGGCTGGCGCATTTCTCAGTGAAGGAATATCTGACGTCAGATTGGATTGGGAAAGATACTGCACGATATTTTGAGGACAGTATTGCCAAAGCATCAATTACAAAGTTTGCCTGGCATACTTGTCGCATCTCAATGAACAGCGTCCGATCAGTGAAATCAGAGTAGAATTTTCGCTGGCGCAGTACTCTGCGCGGTATTGGGTGGATTATGCGAGGTCTGATGAGGCTAAGAAGGATATGCAGGAGTTTATTCTTAACTTCTTTCTGCAAAGGCAAGCGTATGAAGTCTGGGGTTAACTTTTCAACCCGCATTCGCCTGGGACCAAAGAGCCAAATCAACATGAAAACATGCCAGCCCCATTGTACTATGCGTCCTTCGCAGGTCTCCAATGTACGGTAGGGTTGCTGTTAGGGCATGGTGCAGATGTTAATGCGCAGGGTGGGCGTCTTTGCAGCGCTCTCCAGGCTGCCTCATTCCATGGCTACAAGGAGATTGTGCAGCTGCTATTAGAGCATAAGTGCTGGGAGTACAGGGTTTGAACATGACATCTTATAATTAGTGTTACGATGTAGGAGGCTAGGAGGGTGTAGGATGTGTTTGAATGCTTCGGTCTGTTTGAGGTAGAGCCCCTTTGCACAAACTAGTGTAGTGGCGTGCCCCGGGATCCTACCAGAAGTACGTTATGTTGTCTCCGGTCAGGTCCAGTACTTCCCTTCATTTTGCAGATAGTTTAGGGGAATCAATCAACTACGCACTACAGTATGATCCGGTAGCCAGCATCCAGTCGGTATCCAGCCAGAACCGTACCAGTGTGTGTTCTTTCCTTCTTTCTTTCTTTCTTCCGTTCTACCCTATTTCCGTCCTCCTTCCCTATATCGACCCGCCGGTATCGACCCGGCATCTCCGTCAGGGCTTGCCCGTGTTCACTAGATAGCTTGGAGTTGGCTGGCTTTGCCTTTCGCCCTCTTTCCTTTCCTCCTCGTGCTAGTATTCTGTGCTCGGTACGATGTCTTAGACACTATTTGGAGTAAATAGAAAAAGAATTCCGATTGAGGAAGCTATCGATTATAAGGTATATT